AGACCTCACAGGGGACCTCACGATCAAATACAGGTCCGCACTGAAATACTTGTCGGGAGGATACTTTATAAAACAAGGTAAAATTTTTTTTTAATTTTTACACACATATTTTGGTTTATCTTCCTTCTACAATCATTATCTGAAAATTAATGACTCAACTTCAAAGTCACCCTGTATATTAGCGCGGATCGTAAGTTTGAAAAAATGTTGGCATACAAAACTGGGGTCCAGAAGGGCTTTGCAAATCTTCCTGAACCGGAGTATGTACCTTCAATTGAAGTTGAATTAGTGCCGGCCGAAGACACATAATCCTGACATTGGGATTGTGTTGCTCATCGAACTAATGCGTTCATTTCATCATCCATTAATACCTGTTGTAATTGAGATCTCACAATTAGTTTCCTTGATGGAGGTACGCGAGATAAATTCTCGAAGCCAGGATTTTACTTTTTAAAAAATATTTATTTGAGTACCGACCGACTATTACAAGGATGAGTTATGAACTGAACTGATTAACAAAAAATAAAACCAAGTAAACTAAAAATGTCTATGTTGCATTTCCGGTAAAGGTGAACGCCGTTCATGTGCCGACGTATGGTTACCGTATCCGGTTGGATACATAACTCCTCCCTCCTTAGGATGGAAGTTCGTCCTCGAACTTCTGCTGGTTGGCCTGAAGTTCTTGAAGATCCTTCAAGGGAAGCCTTGGCTTGAAGAACAGGGTGTGTAGTCTCTTTCGTTTTCTTGAAACGAAATACATAATGGTTGCAGCCAGGATGACGTACAGGGTTGCAACAGTCCAAGATATGGATGAGATGAAGATGGACCTTAGATGCGTTGGCTGGATCACAGACAGTCGGGGTGTTTCTTGAATTTTGTCGATCTGGTCCAGGTGTATTTGGAATTTGGGATTCAGTTTTACAGGAACAACATCTGGGATCTGGATCTTCTGACTTGATGTAGTAAACCATTTTTGGTAAATTTTTACTGCACATGTTGACTGGACTATTACTGGTTGGTTGACATTTTCCACTTCTCCGGAACAGTTTTCAAAGACTTGGATCTGCCTGTTTGTGCTCAGTACTATAAGATTTTTCTCAGTACGGTGGATGATCGGTTGGTGAAAAACTGTTATGGCTGTTGTACAGTTTTCCAATGTTGGCAATTGGCATTTGCTAGACGACATTGATTGGCATATAATCTTCTTTTCCGTGTGCTTGCAGTCAGGGTACCAATGATTGTCTCCATAATGGGTAGCCGGGGGTATCAAAATGATTGCGTCTTTGTTTTGGACGGGGTAAATATGGTAAAGGGGAAACTGATGTTCATCAAGGATAGGGATCTTTAGGATAATTAAGAGTTGAGTATCCGTTATAACTATTGTGCTATAAGAATTTTCAATTAATTCAAAGGGATGCAGATCGTCTGACAAAAGACAAGTTTTCTTATAGAAAAATTTTAGATGATTTTCCAGAACAGTTATTTCTGACAGGGTAAAAAGTTCTACATTTGACTGCTGAAGTGCTGCTAGGCTTATTGTTCTTAAAATTTTGAGAAGAAATTGATTCAGGCTACTGATGCTGAGAATTTCGCTATGAAGAGCAAAGTACTTTCCAAGACTGTTCTCTATGGATTCAATCTCCCGTGCCACCTTGACAGAGTTCTTATTGAAAGCTGTAATAAAATTATTATATCTTTGTATAGTGTCTAAGGCGTAGGTGGTGGAGTTATTAACGACGGTAATAATTTCGGATTGCTTCTTCTCAAGAGCATCAATATGTTTTTCTAAAAATATACGATCATTCTCATCGAGGTTTCCAGTGATGGACTTTATCACCGTACCCAACATGTTCACTAGACCACGTTTTCTACGTGACCGAACGATTTTATGAAAATTATCCAAAGTTTCTTGATATAGAAGAGTATAGTGAGTGACTACATTTTGGTATGCAGAAGTCGAAATTTTGTTGAACAGGAGGGGGTGTAACAAGGCTGATTTCAAGGAGATGTCTATAGAAGTTAAGTTAATGGTTAAAATATGGCGGTGATAGTGATCCAACATTTGTGCTTGACCAACCAATTCCTGGTAATATCCATTATTGGAGATCGGGCGCACTTTAAGTGCCAGGCTGTGGCTCAGCAGGTGGCTGGTCCTGTAACAAGGGGGCTTTGCGTAAGCGTTTTATGTTTCTTGGATGAGTATTTGTGGGTCTATTTTTAGATGTTACAGCCTCTATTTGGGTCTCTTTGGCTGAAGTGACCTTAGCTGACACATAGTTTCGAGGGTTTTTGTGAATGTAAATAGGATCTCCAGGTTTAGGGGCTGGGGTAGAATCAGAGTGCTTTTCGTTTCGTTTGTCCAAAATTCTAGTCTCTTTATTGTGAATTTTCCTATATAGGGAATCGATAAAAGGGCGGAGTTCGTCTTTATGTCGTTGATTATATTTTTCATATACTGGCATGTCGTCGTCAAATTGAATTTCTTCGGCATAGGGGCCATAAAGGATAGAAAATGGAGAGTAACCAGTAGCGGAATGTATCGATTGATTATAGATTAGGACACAGTGAGTTACTAGATCTTGAAAATATTCCTTTGGACGTTCGTCTTTCATTACTCTGAGTTTTTCTATGAAAGACTAGTGAAACCTTTCAATAGGGCTATTGGAATTTGGATTGTTTACTGTGATGAAATGTAGCTCAATTTTATGAAGACTCATGAATTCCTTGAAGAGATTATTAGAAAATTCTGTGCCTTCGTCACATACAATTTTCCTCGGATAGTTGTGGTGCGAAAAATAGTGACGTAATTTACTCAATATTGTGACTGTCGTTTTATCTGAAATATGGTAGACTTGAGCGTATTTAGAAAATGAATCAATAATAGTCAGAAAACATTCTTTATAACAGGAAAATGTATCTATGTGTAGAATATCGAATGGTTTTTGACCTAGAAGAGGACCTTTCAAAGGAAGTTTGTATGGATGCCTTTCATACTTATTGCGAAGACAGATATCGCACTGATTAATAAAATTTGATACAGTACATCGCATATTTGGCCAGTAATATTTAAGTTTTAACTGATTGATGGTTTCGACAATGCCATTATGATTATTTTTGTGATAATTTTGAACACATTGAACTTGAGCTTCAAGATCGTCTATGTCTTGAACACGCTTGGAACAAAAGAAAATTTGGATGGTGTCATTGTAGGTATTTCGAACATACTCAGCGATATATTTTTGGATGTCGGTATTGTCTGTAAGAATATAATAACGTTGATTTGGGGCAATTATGTCGTGAAGTGCTGTTTTTACGCCGTCTTTCCAATTTGCTTGGACAAGGGTGACCAAATGTTGATGTTTAGACTTGAATTTCAATGAACACCTGATAGAATGTTTGTCTCCAATTTTTATTATAATTTGGTTAGTGAAGTAATTTATAGGCTCTTCAGAAAATGGGACAGTAGCAACAGGATGTTCAACTGATGAATGTTGGGTAGATTGGCCAGTTTCTTTATTAAAGGATTGATTCACAAATTCGTTAAGATCAAATATTTCATCGTCCGAAGACTCTGAAGGGGGATTAGCAATCACGGATTCAGTTTCATGCATATTAATTTCTATGCGGGATAGGGCATCAGCTACAACATTCTCCTTGCCTTTTTTATATTTTACGTCAAAATTATAATCTTCCAGTTTGAGTCTCCAACGAACTAAACGAGAGTGAGGTTCTTTAATTTTCTCTAGCCAAACGATGGGATTATGGTCAGTTTCGACAGTAAATTTAACACCATACAGATAAGGGCGGAAATGTTTGCACGAATCTAAAATCGCTAAGAGCTCTCTTTCAATGGTCGAATAGTTTCTTTCAGCAGTATTAAGAGTACGAGAGTAGTAAGCAATGGGTTTTCCATCTTGAGATAGAACTGAACCTATGGAAACACCTGAAGCATCTGTGGTAAGAGTGAACGGTTTTGAAAAATCTGGGTATTGGAGTATGGGGGAGTTGCTAATTGCGGATTTGCACTTTTCGAAAGCTTCTATGTACAACGGATTGGTTATGTCAATTTTTTCTCCTTTTCGTGTACAACGTGTCATAGGAGCGACTATTTTGGAGAAATTGTGAATGAAGCGTCGGTAGTAGCCGACTAAGCCAAGAAAGCTTTGAATTTCTTTTCGTGATTTGGGAATGGGATAATTTTGAACTGCATGGATCTTACTAGGATTGGGCTTTATACCCTCTGGGGTCACTATGTGGCCAAGGAATGCAACTTCTTTGCACAGGAACTCTGACTTGTCAAGTTGTATTTTTAGATTTGTGTCACGGAATTTTTGAAAGACTTGTTTGATGTGTATGAGATGTTCTTGAAGGGACCTAGAAAATATGATGACATCGTCCATGTAAACAAAACATGATTTATAGAGGTGGTCTCGGAGAACTTCATCCATCATCCTTTGGAAGGTCATAGGAGCATTCCGGACCCCCATAGTCATCTTCAAATACTCAAAATGTCCATTTGGGACAGTGAAAGCGGTCTTGTCCACAGAATCTGGATGGACCTGTATCTGATGGAAACCTTGGGCTAGGTCAAGAGTTGTGAAATAGGTACACCTGCCAAGATTATCCAGAATTTCATCTATCCTAGGAATTGGATATTTCTCTTCCACTGTATTGTCATTGAGCTTCCGATAATCGATTACCATGCGAAACTTTTTCTTTCCGGATGCGTCTGCTTTTTTGGGAACAATCCAGACTGGGGACGAATATGGAGAGATTGAGGGACGTATGATGTTGTTTTCTAAGAGTTTATCAATTTGTGAAGAAATTTCGGGAAGCATAGCTCTTGGATACCTATAAGATCGAGAAAAAATAGGCCTATCGTCTTTAGTACGAATAATATGCTTGACAGTACTTGTACAAGTGAGAACGGAATCTTCTGTATGAAAAATGTCTTTATATTGATGGCATAAACGGAGAATTTTTTCTTTTTCTTCAGATTTCAAGTGTTGAGTTCGAATCATACTACTATTGAAAGAGGTACTAGAAGACTGCTTAGGAAGTTCTTCCTCAAATTCTGAGAGGTATGCGGCAGAGACAGGTTGAGAAAAATTAATTTCCAAATTTTCTGGCTTAGGAATATCGATATAACCATCTTTAGCATAATGTATAGATTCTGGTAAGATAACATGACCTTCATGGATGATTTCCGGGACAACTACTTCACCATTGTTGACGGATACAGGAATAGATAACCGATTATTTGTACGATAGATTATTTTAAAAGGAATTTCGATACCTAGTTTACGGACAGAAAATATGTGAGATTCATAGTCAATGTTTGCACCCAATTGATCAAGTTCACCAGTTCCGAGAAGAATATCAAAATCATCATGCCAGTCTGCAATTCTGACTATAAGAGGTGTATGAATACCTATTTCATTTAGTACAGGGTAATATAAATTTCGAGTATACGTTTTCGGAGTTTTCATGGAGATAAGAGTGAAGGGCTCATAGAATTCATGTTCAGGGTCATACATTTTAGCAGCTCTTGGGGTAATAACTGTATCTGATCCACCGGAGTCGATCAAAATTTTCAAATTGGAATGGGGTAGGTAGAAATAGGGTAGCTTGGTGTGTTTTGAAAAGTTATTTAATTGGATGGTTCGATATCGGGCGGTTCCTGAATGGAAGGCCCTTGAAAATTTTCGGAATACGTAGGCTTGTTGGTCTTTATATGTGTCATAATATTCGTGATTACAACATTCGTCAGAATATGTGACGGAATTTGGGTCACACTCTACATTATGATGAAAAGTACGACTATTATGAGTGGAGGTGGACATCGGAGTTGGTTTCCGAGTAGTAGTCTGCGTTACTGACATAGGACTGGGCTTGTATTGATTATTCGGTACATTATTTGGACGAGAAGGACCGAATACTTCTCTGTTAGTAGGAGGATTTTGACGTTGAGGTATGGGCCAATTTATATCACCAAATGTTCTGTTAGGTGTGAACGATTGGAAACGGGGCTGTTGAAAAAAATTTTGGGTACCATTAGATGGATTCTGTTGAATCGAAGACTGAAAATTGGGTAATGCATTTCGATTACTCGGTTGAGTGACAGCTACTCATTGGGGTAGGTAGAGGATTTCAGATACGACATATATTGCTGTTGTTGCTTATGGTTATCTAAAGAAATACATTTCTGAAGAGCTTCGTCTAACGAAGATAAATCGTAATGAGATAGGTGGTCCCAATATGGATTATTTATACCAGTACAGAAGGTTCTAAGTGCTTGATTTCTAAAGAATGAAGCTTTAAACTCAACTGCCTGTGGATTACTTTCATGAAGTGAAACATGCTGAAGAATATCATTTAATGGTAGTGTTACTCGGTGGTGATATTCATGATACGATTCGGATCGTTTTTGGACTGTGGTTGTGAGTTGGGTTAATAAAATTTCCTCGGTGCGATGATCACCATATTTCTGCAATAAAAGTAGCTTTATCTCGGCCCACTGAGTTTGATTGTGAAGATTTAAAAAATCACGAGCCTCGCCTTTTACCTTAGACAATATATTAGCATTTATGATGTAGGTTTGGATAGCATCCGCACCTTGTTGAGAAAAAAAATTTACCAAATTATCTACAGAGTTGATAAAAGTAGATAGATTTTCACCCACTTTGTATTCTGGCAAGGTATTACACAGATTATTGATATCCGAATTTGAGAGAACCATGTTTGAGTTTTCTGTAATAGTTTCTAAGGAAGAGGTACTTAATTGTTCGGTAGAAATATTTTCGAGAGAGGGAGTAGAATATGGCTTAAATCTAAACTTTTCTTTTGAAATTCTTCGAGTACTAGGTGAAATAACAGCTTGTAAAGAATCCTGTGGATACTCGGAACTCATAGGAAAAATGGAATTGACTTACATAAGGATCAGACGAATCAGAAGGATTTTCATCTCCAGTACGGTCTCCAGTTTCCTCAGGTCCGTGGTATTTGTAGATAACTGCCAAGTCGTTGACACGAGCCGATGATCCTCAGGGATGTCGTGCAGCTATCCTGTTCGCAGCGCCAGATAAATTCTCGAAGCCAGGATTTTACTTTTTAAAAAATATTTATTTGAGTACCGACCGACTATTACAAGGATGAGTTATGAACTGAACTGATTAACAAAAAATAAAACCAAGTAAACTAAAAATGTCTATGTTGCATTTCCGGTAAAGGTGAACGCCGTTCATGTGCCGACGTATGGTTACCGTATCCGGTTGGATACATAACTCGCGAAAGAAAGTCATCATCAACTGAATTTCTTTCAAAAATGTTTAGTTTTTTCTTCTAGATCCAAAATTTTTTTCTCATTGTTTGAAGTTTGCGACGCAAAAATCCCAACAGGACGGGATCTGTTCGCACGTCGCAACTAAACGTAAGGATAAGCGCGAATCAACGCAACTACTGTGCGAGCTTATATTGAAAATTGAAAACAACGCCATCGGATCATACGTGCGTGTTGACCCGAACAAACATTCGCGCGTTCACGCTTCCAGTGTGAGAGCAGCCTAAGTCATATATTGATATTTTTATGGTGAGTGTTATTATCTTTAGTTAATTAAATTCATGTATAGGTGCTTTGGATACATAAGTTGAAATTTGAGTTGATGGAAATTCAAAGATGTCACCTGTCACAAAATGTTGAAGAGAATAGAAAAAAAAACTTAGGTATTATTGTGATAAGTTTCAAACTTGGCGCTTAACGCAATGGATAACTGCGGCACATGCGCTAGGAGGTTAAAACCCAAATTCCACAAAACGAATTCGACCTTATTGTTCAAGATGGCGGACGTTGTGGATGAAGTGATAATGGACTCTGATGAAAATGAGGAAATTCTTCCTAAAACCACCGAAGAGTAAGTTTCTCATCACGGTTGTTAATTTCCAATATATTTTACTTATTGATTGAAGTGGTTGTTGTCTGCATTCAGTGAAGGATATGAGCGATAATTCCGGAACTTTCTCTAGTTCCTGTGGCTGTCCCATTTAAGTAATTGCATTATTTACGCGACATGAAAAGGAAAAATGCAAATTAGTTTGTGTCATTCACCGTCATAAACGAACCACCTTCGATTCACATCCATTCAAATAGTTCGTGTATTGACAAAGGCCAACCTGTGTTATGTCCAAACAATGGGTCAAGTACCGTTCAGAACTGACAGTTCTCTGAAATTATTTCCCCGTTATGTACTCCAACGCATTTTGTATTTGGAAACTTGACGACTTTGTGGAAGAAAAAATAAAAGTCGTTTGACTGCAACAACTGTGGTATATGGGATGAGTCACAATTCAAGAGTTCATCAGACATATGCATTCCTGTTTACATTGTTGCGCAAATCGTCACTAAAACGTATAAGCGTTATTTTCAATAGTAGTTCAGTAAAACCACATTATTTCCTGTGTAGAATTCCTTATTATTTAGTGGAAACCTAAATATGAGCTTACCACAACAGTAATAATGTCTGTAGGAATTTGTTGCAACATTACTGATCAACCTTTTCATTTTAGATTGGCTGAAGCAAAGAAAGAAACTGGCAATCGTCTGTATAAAATAAAGAACTACAGGACTGCTCTTCAGTACTATAATGAAGCTGTTGAGCTGTGTCCTGAACAAGCTTCATATTATGGAAACCTCACTGCCTGTCTTATGATGCTTGGAAGGTAATTTTTAATTTAATATATTGATAGATAGATAGATTTTTTCATACAAAATTGTAATGACAGGACCTCAGAATATGACACACAAAAAGCACAGGACTGAGTTCTTAATAGATTCATAATAGTTTTATAGTTCTTGTTTAATAATTGTAACAGCTCTTGAAGATTGTTAAGCAGGAATTTGTAAAATTGATATTGAGATTCACCATGCATTATATTTTACCCTTGTGTAAATCAAAATATCAGCTTAAAACCTTATCCAGAACTTGTGTGCTTCTAATTGCATAAATGTACTTGATAATGCAAAATGTATGATATATCAGCTATTCATTTCAATTTTCTAGAATTTTCATATCAATAGCTAATTTGATTAGATTTTTTTTTGCATGTTGTAATATTAGCCAAAATATTGAAAGATGAAGAATATTCCAGTATACATTATCCAGTTTATTGAGTTACTAGGGAGTTCAAATGAGTAAAAATATAAAAGTATTAAATTTTACTTTAGTGAAAATAACACATTTTTAACAAAATTCTGTTTTTTAGATCTATGGAAATCTAGCAAAATCAAATGGAGTAATTAATTCATCTTGGGCTGACCAGAATCTTGGCATATTCTTAAGCCCTATTTTAAAGAAATCATGCAATGTTAACACTATCGATCTTGCAGACTTTGTCATATCATTTTTAGAACTCTTTCTCTTAACAATATAATAACTAGGGTACTCTACTTTAATTCTTTTGAGGACAAATTCATTTCCTCAAAAATAGAACTACAAGTATTGATGTTCACAAAGTGAAATATAGTTGACAATATGGCAAGCAGTTTGAACAATCTACAAGTATAAAAAAATATATATTTTTTTTGTTACTTTATGTAGAATGTTTTCCAAAACATCTTATTAGTAAAATATTTTTCTAATGTCCCTTTTTAAATAAATTTCTTGTAATTAATCTAAAACACAGTTTCCTGGTATAAAGTTGCTGTTTCAGAAAAAATTATTTCCTTCTTCAGGCCTATACAAATTTTAGTTTTCTTTCAATCACTAACTTGACGTATACATTAATTAACATTATTATAAGTACTAATTGTTTTAAATATAAATGTTTGAATATGAGTTAAATATTGCTTCAATATCTAACACCATACTCCTTCATAGATATGATGAAGCATTGAAGAATGCAAGAAAAAGTGTGCAATTGGACCCAGACTTCATCAAAGGCTACATTAGAATAGCCAAGTGTGGGATAGCTCTTGGTGATCTTGTCACAGCAAATGCTGCCATTGAAAAAATTAAAGAACTTCAACAAAATGACCAGTCAGGTATGATGGTTATATGAATTCAATTACTAGGTGTATAATATTAGAAAATAAAATAGATGGTATATATTAATATATATTCAATTATTCAATGTTATTTAAATAGTAACAATTTTGGCACAATATCATACCAGTATACATAGCCAACAATCTGAAATTATCAGACAAATTCCTGTCATTCAGCAGATTAAAGATAAGACATACAATTAATCCAGATGATCGCTTGAAATATTACATTTGATCTGTTTATCTTATATTCCAATTTACAGAAGTTTTTTTTCTATGAGACAGTTAACACATATTTTTGTTTTGTTCTATTCTTTGATCATTCTAGCAAATAAGGTATACTATAGTACAACCTTAGTCATAATATTTGTCTCGCATGAACAGTGTTTTTTTGTGTTTTTGAAAATTATGCACTCTATATTTCTGTGATATTTCCACACCATATTTTGTAGTTATTGCAAGTGAAGTGAGATCTCTGGAAAAATTGAAGCAATTTGAAAATGAATATTTGAAAGCATATGAGAAAGGTGATTTTCGCAAGGTTGTGTATTGCATGGACCGTTGCTTAGATGAAGCACCTACCTGCAATCGCTATAAGTTGATCAAAGCTGAATGTCTTGCCTTCCTTGGTCGTTTCCAAGTATGTATTTGCATAATCTAGAATAAATTGACAAATATCTAAGCATTTTTACTTTTGTTTTTTTGTTGAAGATTTATTTAGCATCAATGCTACAATGGCAAGTTTGTATAATTATTTGTTTACAGATTTTTTGTTTAAACTTTCTATATTTAATTCTGTCTATTAAAATTACACCACTAGTTATTTTGAGTATTCATAAAGTGATTCTTTAATTTTACCTTAAACTTCTTTAAATTTGCACTTCACTGTTTTATATCATTATTCAATATATTGAAACACATATTTGTCAGTTATATATAACTACTATTACACTTGTGCAGATGAAAATATATAATGTGGTGGTATGAATGATTTTTTAATTTGAATATGTAAATTTTTACATTCAACCACTGTAGTTTTTCTAAAATAGATGTAATCTTAGCATATTTGTTTTTATGTAAAATTATTCTTATCTTATAGAATTTGTCATTTTTAAAATATGTTTTCATTTGCTGTAAACAAGATGGTTGAACAATATAAAAAATGGGGATGAATTATAATGTTATACACATTTCTTTTTTTTTTTTTTTTTGGAATGCATATTGAGATTATGGGAAACTCTGTAGAAATAATTTATCTTTTTTGATATTTTTGAAACAATGTACCCAGATATTTGAATGATTCAACTATTTGAATTTTTTCATCATTAATCATGAACCTAATTGTACGTAGTCATGCCATAAGTTCTGTCCCTCGTTTTCAAACAAGTGTAGACCTGTTAATACTTGTCCGATTGTTTACATTGTGGTGTCAGTTGATTAAGCGCTTTTCGGGTAATTACATATACCTCAGTTTGTATTGATCTCTCGAAGCATAACGATGGAGTGGGGCAAGGCAGAGAACCGTATTGCAGTGATAGCTTTACATAAGTGTAATCACAGTGCTAGTCAGATTTTTGAACTCTTACGCGGCCTTCAAATATCGCGTAAATTTGTGTCTAGGACCATTCAGCGGTACAATGAGACGTCCTCTGTTGATGACAGGCCAAGAAGCGGAAGACCTCGTCAAGTAAGGACTCCAGCAGCCATCAAAGCCGTAAAAGCCAGGATTCAAAGGAATCCACTCCGGAAGCAGAAGATCCTATCCAGGGAAATGAAGATTCCTGTCCGGACGATGTCGCGCATCATTAAACAAGACCTAGGGCTAGGGGCTTACCGGAGACGTACGGGACAGCGACTTACGGCCACCTTGCGACACATCAGGGCGACAAGATCCAAGAAGCTCTTGGAGAGGTACGCAGCTGGGGGATTCCGAAAGATTTTGTTCACGGATGAGAAAATCTTCACCATAGAAGAAAAATTCAACCGACAAAATGACAAAGTGTATGCAAGGAGTTCACAGGAAGCTTCGGAGATCATTCCGAGAGTTGAGAGAGGCCACCACCCTGCGTCAGTCATGGTTTGGTGGGGGGTGTCCTACGAAGGGGTCACTCAGCTCCATTTCTGTAAACAGGGCGTGAAAACAAAAGCGGCAAACTATCAGAGCGACATACTGGATCCTATCGTCAAGCCTTTAAGTGGTACATTGTTTGCCAACCAACACTGGGTCTACCAGCAGGATTCCGCCCCCGCTCACAAGGCTAAGAGTACGCAGCGCTGGCTGGAAAGCAATGTGCCAGAGTTCATTGCTGCGGAAGATTGGCCCTCAGGGAGTCCGGACCTCAATCCTTTAGACTACAAGTTGTGGGACCTGCTAGAGCAGTTGGCCTGCTCCAAAGTCCACCGTAATATCGAGTCCCTGAAAGCGGATTTGATCCGATCAGCGGCAGCTATTCCTTTGGAAGCTGTGCGTGCAGTGATAGATGAGTGGCCCGCGAGATTGAAGCAGTGTGTGAAGGCCAAGGGGGGACATTTTGAATAAAACTGTTTGATTATGAATTCTAAAAATGTTGTCGAATAAATAATATCTTTCATATAAATATATCTTATCTTGTTTCATTTTTATCATGAGATTATCATGGGACAGAACTTATGGCACGACTACGTATTGTCACCTAAATGTTTCTCTATTGACATACATTTTGTTTATATATTTAGGTGTATTAATATTTAACCAATTAATTTTTTTTAATATCAGTATTGAACAGTTCACAAGTTTATGTGCACATATATATGTTTGTGTGTGTTTCACAACTTATCCGACAAATTTTAACCACATATGCATTGTTACGAAAGAAGTTGATTTTTAAAAAAAAAGTAATGGAAGTCCTACAGAAATCGAGATGATAAAATAATACAGTTCAACAGGTCACTTACTTTAAAAGCTGTTCAAAATTGGTTCCATTGACTGCAAAGCAAGCTTGGGCGCGTCCGAACCAATTTCGGCGCACTAATTCAAATACGCCTCCTTCCTGCTGTTCCTGAAGGATGAAATTATCGGCAGCCACTGTGATTCGGTCACGCAATTCTTCAGTATTCTGAACTGGAGTACGGTATACCTCGTTTTTCAAGTATCCCCATAAAAAGAAGTCCAGCGGATTTGAATCGGGAGAGTGCAGGCCTTGCAATTGGACCACCCCTTCCTATCAGGCGTATCTCTGGTATACCTGATTCAAAAAATCACGAACTTCTAAACGAAAATGCGGAGGTGCCCCATCGTGCAGAACCACATCCGTGCTCGGACCGCCATTTGCACATCTTCAAGAAGGAGCGGCAAATCATTCCGAAGAAATTCCAAATACTGTTGACCATCCATCCGATCTGGCCATATGAAGGTCCAATTAGACGTTCATCGACAATACCTGCCCACACAAAGAAAAACGATTTTGAAAGTGTGTCTGGACCACTGCGTGAGAGTTCTCAAAGGACCAAACGTGAGTATTATGAAGATTGATTATCCCATTACGAGTAAAAATGGCTTCATCGGTGGACAAAATATCAGCTGTAAAACAGGCATTTTGAGCATGTTCTTGCAACAACCACTCACAAAATCTTACTCTTAGGGGGTAGTCTGTAGGTAGCAACGCCTGAACTCTCTGGACATGATAATGGTACAGTTGGGACTCATGTAATATGCGCCACGCTGTTGCATGTGACACTTCTGGGACCTGTTGGGCTAATTGCCTTGTGCTTATTCACGGATTTTCTTCCACAATATCCAAAATTTCGTCGGCATTCAAAACGCGTTGTAGGCGAACCCGATCCCCATCCACTCCACGTCTGGGCGGAAATCTCCACTATCATGTGCACGTGAAACAATTGAACTAGATGTTTCGTAATGTGGTACATATGTGCCTATTCCGAAATCGGTGTGCATACAAACGAGATGCCGCTCGCAAATTTTGCCCTACTTCTCCGTACGCTAAAACAATGTCCACTAACTCCTCATTAGTGTACACATGTGCCCTTTTTATTGATAAATAATCCACGATAGATATTAAACCTCATTTACACGTTCTTATCAGTATGAAAGAACGAAAAAATCCTGGTATTTTGTTTTCGTCAGTTGTTTGGTACAACATTTGCTACAATAAATTATTAATGCGTGGTGTTCCATATCACGACGATGAATGCAAAATACAGATATTTATTTTTCAGTTTATTATTGAAACTCAAATTTATAACTTAATTTCTGTAGGACTTTTACTACATTTTGTCTTTTTTTTTTGAGAAATCAACTTCTTTCGTAACAGTGCATATGTGGTTAAAATATGTCGGATAACTTGTGAGACACCCTATATACAGGGTGTTCCATAATTATTGCGACAAAATGATAGGGGTTGTAGAGGGCATCAAAATGAACAATTTTGCCTTATAAACCCCTGTTCGGAAATATGCCGTTTGGGCTGCAGCAAAAAAAAGATCAGTTTCTTGAAACAGCTTACCTACAATAATTGCTCGAAGTGTCCTCCACCTTGCTCAATACACAGCTGTGCACGATTGTTCAATGATTGGCGAACTCTGTGGCATTACCCCGGTATGTCCTGAACATGTGCGGACGCGGCCATCACTCTTCCCAGTAGCTCTTGTTGGTTGGGTACAGTAGTTTTGTACACTAAAGCTTTCAGATGGCCCCAGAGAAAATAATCCAGTGGGGTCAGGTCGGGTAACCGCGCAGGCCAAGGCACAGGGCCACCTCGGCCTATCCACCTATTTGGAAATTTGTCGTCCAAATAATGCCGCACTTGTAAAGAAAAGTGGGCTGGAGCGCCATCGTGTTGAACCCACATGTTGGCTCTTATGTTCAGTGGCACATTTTCCGGTAGCACATGCTGTAAGAATCGACCATAAGCATGCCCATCCAAACGTGGTGGAAGCAAATATGGCCCGATGATATGCTCGTCCACAATGCCGCACCAGATGTTAATTGAAAACTGATGTTGGTCTCTATGGGTGGCTATGGCATGAGGGTTTTCTTAATCCCAAATGTGACTGTTACGGCTATTAAAATAACCGTCCTTTCTAAAACAGGACTCGTCAGTGAACAAAACGTAGCGACCAAAGTTTGGTTGCCTCAACTCCTGCTGCAGCCACCAACGACAAAAACGTCGACGCGGCAGATAGTCTTCTGGACCCATGGCTTGGACTTTTAAAAGGTGGTATGGGTGTAGTTGCTGGTGTCATGGAGAACCCGCCAAACAGTAGTTTGAGACGCTCCCATATCATGTGCAATAGCACGCACGCTTGTACGCGGATTGACCTCTACATGGTGCAGAATCGCTTCCTCAAATTCTACTGTGCGCCTTGTGAAGGGCCGCTCTGCTCCCGCGAGCTGTCTGATGCTGCCACTGACACGAAGACGTCCATGAATCCTTGCAAAAATGGCGTGATGCAGATGAGGACGTTCTGGAAACCGTTGGGCGTAGATTCGCGAGGCTCGTCTTCCGTTACCACTAGCTTTTCCGTAAATTAAATGCATATCCGCAAGTTTCGCATACGAATAACGCTGCATTTTAACACTAAGGTACTGTTATTTACTATCTAGTTTGACGCACCACTCAGACAAATTAAATAAATCGGTGTGGAGAATTTACGATAACAAAAATGTAAACACAGCAGGCTTTTTTTACAAACCGGCGAGACCATGAAATGTGCTAGACGAACATTTTGCAGCTGGTGAATTTTTTGTTTCTCCTATGAGCTCTTAAGGTAAAATTAGCGGTAGTGCTCAAATGGCATATTTACGAACAGGGGTTTATAAGGCAAAATTGCATATTTTTATGCCCTCTACAACCCCTATCATTTTGTCGCAATAATTATGGAACACCCTGTATATATATGAATGTATCATCCGCAAATATTTGAATTTTGCAGTGTTCTAGTTTTTTGTTTTTTTAAGCCAAATATACATTGATTTATCAATTTTTTCCAATAGGAAGCCCAAGAAATGGCAAACAACATTCTACGTATGAATAAAAGTGATGCAGAAGCCATCTATGTCAGAGGTATTTGCCTTTATTTTGAGGATAACATTGATACTGCCCTGCAACATTTTCAACAAGTACTAAGGTTTGCTCCAGATCATGGAAAAGCAATGTCTTCATACAAAAAGGCAAAAGCTCTAAAGGTGAAAAAAGAGGAAGGGAATGATGCTTACAAAAATTGCAGGTAACCTTAATAAAAAGGTGTATTAAAAAGTGAAAGTCTTCTTTGATTTTTCATGAATTCTCTTGCGACATTATTTGGTATGGACTCAGTATAAAAAATTACAAACTTTTACTCTCCTATTCTTAGGGCTATGGAGAAATTTAGCAATGTGCCTTGAAGTAATTATTGGCGAGATAGCAGTTTAGCAAAAACACACAGAAACATAAAACTCTTGCTGACACAATTAAATTATTTTTTTTGTAATAAGAAATGTTCATGAGTGTTTGATTGTTCAATGGGGAATCAATGATGTGTCCTTTTTCTACTGATATGACTCATAAATGAATATGCTTTATTGTTGAAAGACAACTTGAAACTAAACTTTAACAAAACTACATATGTGGCATAAAATGGTTGCATATTAGAAAGTTTCGATCTTTGTGATGGAATATGTTAAAATTCTTGATTCTTTTAATATAAACATTTAAATTTTCAGACCATTCTAAATTAAAGTGTTGATTCAGATGTTACTAATTTAATTGTTGTTTTGTCTAAAATCATAATGTTTCAAATTTAAATTTATTTTTAAAAATAGCAGTTCCTGTTTCAGTAGTGAACAATGATACAATGGACATTATTTCAAGTTTTAGAAATAAAGGTCTGCATGTAGCTCTAGGATTGCTTTTAGTTGTGTATTTAATTTTTCTAGAATAAGCACTTTTTTAAACAATTTTGGGAACAGACAAACTAAGAGGGAATGATATATCTACTTTCAAATAAGGCAAAGGAGCTGCTTAAGGCTTTGCTTTTCCCTACCTTGCAACTCATTGTTTTTATAATGAAAGTCTTTGTTAGTTGAGTCAGCAATAGCTCTACATGATTAGTAAAATCTAACTTATGATCAATGGTCAGTCCTAAAAATATATTTGTTGTTATCACGCCATTTTTTGAATGATTACACATCACTGTCAATTTTTGTCTTAATTTCATTTATGCCTTTTTCTTGCCAAAGTATTATATCATCAGCAAAAACTATGAATTTACCATTTGTTTAAATTTATTAAATCGTCGATATAAACTACAAATATACAATTGGGTGAAGCTCTATTACAACCATATTTGTTTAATTTTTTCAATAGTATATCATGATTTACAGAGTCAAAAGCATTGAAAAAAAAACACGAATAAAGATCAATTGTAATTTGTTTGCGATTTAAAGTGCCAGGAATAAATTATATGGAATTTGACCCCCAGTCCATTTTAATGAAAGTTTGTAAAGTAAAGTTCATGTTGAGCAGTTCAGTGGGATGAAGCTCAGAAATGCTTACTGTAAGAGATTCAGGGTGTTAATGTTTGGTGCCTTCACCTCTGGGGGTAAGCCTGCCTGCACCTTTTTACAAAAACTCTGTCTCAATTGTTGACTTAACATTATAATAAAAATCACTTGAACTCATCAGATATATACAGGGTGTTGCAATAAAAAGTCGTTTAATATAATAACGGAAAGATATTCGAAAACGATTTGCGCAGCAATATTGACATCTTATAGGCGTGTATTACTGAATAATTTGGAGATATGTAGGTCATTTGTCTGGTATGACATAAATGTTTTTTTTTTAAGAAACATACCTTTTATTACATACAAGGGATGTCTTTTAAGTTTTGCATATAGAAACATAGTAGGCCGCGCGGATCGAACGTCAGTACTAAATCTTAACCTCACTCTTTAGTAAACTTAAATTCAAAGTTTCACAACAATACGTGCAGTGTTCTTCTCACTACAGTGAATTTTTAAGTGCCACCAAGTCATTAGAAAACTTTCAGAGACATTATCGCATTATCGCCTTGCTGAGTTACTGTCTGTTTTCGGCAACGAAGCGTCACATCAGTCGACAATTGCCCGTTGGAATGGAGAATTCAAACGTGGACGGGTGAGTCTTAGCGAAGATTCCAGGGTGGGTGCACCAAAAACGGCAGTCACCCAGGAAAACGTCGATGCTGTGCGCAAACTCATCATTGAAGAAAGACATGTGACATATCGCGAGATTGAGGCGTCCTTGAAGATCTCAAAGACCTCAATTCAAAAAATTTTACATGAAGAATTAGGAGTAAGAAAATTAGTTTATCGTTGGATACCCCACCTGTTGACTGAAGAGCAGAAAGCAGCCAGGGTTAATTGGTGACAAAAAAAGCTTGACCGTTTCAATTCCGGAAACTAAAAAAATGTGTACAGCATTGTTAGTGGTAATGAATCGTGGATTTACTGTTATGAACCAGAAAATAAACGACAGTTGGTTGTATGGGTGTTCCAAGGTGAGGAAAAGCCAACGAAAGTCATCCGTTCTCGGAGTGTGTCGAGAAAGATGGTCGCGACATTTGTGTCAAAAGCGGGTCATATTGCAACAATTCCTCTTAATGAGCAAAGAACTCTTACTGCGGATTGGTATACCACCATTTGTTTGCCAAAATCAACCCCGAAAGAAGAATCATCCTCCACCAAGACAATGCAAGCTCGCACACAGCCTAAAAAACAAGGCAGTATTTAACGGAAGAAAACGTGGAATTATTGGACCATCCTCCATATAGTCCCGATCTAAGTCCTAACGATTTCTTTACTTTCCCGAAAATTAAAAACAGACCGCGTGGTCAAAGTTTCCAGTCACCAGAAGAAGCAGTTGACGCATTCAAAAATGCCGTTTTGGATCTGCCAGCAAACGAGTGGAATAAGTACTTCGAAAATAGGTTCGAGCGCATGCAGATTTATATTCATACTTCGAAAAACAATAAAGTAATTTAAAACTACCTACCGTGTTGTTTTATTTCCATATGCAAAACTTAAAAGACATTCCTCGTATAATCAGATCAACCATTCTAAAAAAGCAGTAATAAACCTGATTTCATGAGAAACTCATAAAAACGCGAATCTGATGATGTAAAAATATATATTGGATGTTCCGTTTTGCAGCATCCTGATAAAGTTGACGTACTTTTTCATGCTCTTTCCAAAATCCACTGAAAATTCAAAATGACAGAGCTTCCTTCAAGGACATGCATTTTCTTATACAAATGATAAAATAACGATCAAAATCATGCAGTAGATTTAAATATTCTTATTTTCGAAAGATCATCCCAAATATCTAATATAATAAAGAGTGTTCCATTAAAAAAACACACCTATAAGATGTCAATCTTGTTACTCAACCTGTTTCCGAATATCTTATGTAGCTCGTCTATTAAACCACTTAATATTTTCGGTCCCTGAATACATTAAATATGAGTTAGTTTCCGTAATATGGTGGAGGCAGGCATACCCACAGTGTTAAGGCACCAAACTTTAAGACCCTGAATCTCCAACAGAAGGCATTTCTGATCTTCGCACCTATTGGAACATTTGATCAGGACAACATGAACTATCACTAGATGAATTTTCTTCAAAATTGACTGGTGGTCAAATTCCATATGCTTTGTGTATGATACTTTGACTAATGTGAAAATAACATCCATGGTAGTTTTTTGTTTTTGAAATCCAGAAATAATTTATCCCACTGAGCTCCCATCCATGATGCAGTGGTACTTCAGTATTCCACATTTGAAATTTTCTTTATTAAAAAAAAAACTCAACATTTTTTCTTCAGATTCCAAGAGGCTGTAAGGCTTTACACGGAAGCCCTCGAAATTGATCCATTTAACAAGAAAACGAATGCCAAGTTGTATTTTAACAGAGCAACCGCCTTGGCTCGTCTTACTAAGACCAAAGAAGCCATATCTGACTGCACAGCAGCCTTGAAATTGGATGAAGGGTATTTGAAGGCTTTACTTAGGAGGGCCAAATGCTATATGGATATTGGGGAATATGAAGATGCAGTCAGGGACTATGAGAAGGTAAAAAAATGGCGTCAAGTGGGTTGGCTCTGTACTTCCCATGCAATGCTAACCAATGATGCAATGTTGCAGAATTTGTGAAGAACCTGACCTTTCATTTTGACTAAAATAGAGCGCCATTAGAACCGATACTAAACAGATTCTTCACAATCCAAAAATGTGTACGCTCAAAATAAACCCATTAATTGGACTTGGTGGATAAACTAACGCATATTTTCAACATGCGCTTAATTCAAGGAACTGGTGTAACATATTGGCAGCGCGTCAGCGTTGCTAGGCACCGTTTGATTAGCTTCGTTATCCAGCCGGCTTCTATCTCTTTATAACATATTTGTATGTATACAAACTTCTCTCTCGTACACGTTGAACTTAGGCTGCCAGACAAATTTGGCTCTCAGTGTATGTCAAAGTAAGAGTAATAAATTAAACAAGAACACAAATAACAAGCATAATTAAAATAGACATGTAGGATATCCCAGTAAGATAAAAAATGCAATAAAAAGGTTGAAGATGAGTTACATTCTGTTTATTATCGTGAAATTTCTTTTAAAACTGAGTAAGACAACCTGTAAATTATCAAAACTATTACACATTCTATATCTTCTTAAACAGGTATGCTATATTTGTTCTACCAGTTGGAGTGTAAAAAGTGGACTGAACTGTGTCATTTTTGAGGGAACTGCAAAATTAATTTTTACTAGCAAGTCTGGATAGTCTCATCCATTGTTAACTATATTATACAGAGTTGTAATATCTTTAGTATGGCGACGGTAAACTAGTGTCAAAATCCATTCTTTCACGGAGTATGACATGAGGAAAACCTTTCAGGATAAGAACCAAAAACTTTGTAGTGCATAATATGCATTATATTTCAGGCCGCTGGACTGATTCAACTGCTGAAATAGCATTCTGACAGGATGAAGACCAAAAAATTGCTTTATACTCCATCTTACTCCTTACAAAAGTATAAAGTGCTCTCACACTTGTCATGTCAACAAATCTAGACCAGTTTCTGAAACAAAATCGATCATTTTCCTTATATGCTCAGAAAATGTCAGCTTACTATCAAAAATCACCACATTATGTCTCTTTATAGCCACGTTATCAATCTGATATCAATCAACTATCAGTCTGTGGTTAGAAAATGAAAAACTCTGCAACGACTGTGTTTAGGAGTCTTTCATTGACATAGAAGGCCTAATTAGGGAAAAAGAATAGAAGTGCATGCAAAGTTTAATTTAAAATCTTGTTAAAATAAGTACATATACTCGAGGCAGAAGGCAAAATGGTATCAATTAGGTTGCCTACAATCTTCTCCCATTTTCATTGTACGGTCGCGTCAAAACCGCATATGTATATGTTTAGATTTCAGTTTATTGTACGTCGTTTCGACGATCATTGTTTTCGCGTTTTCAGAGGACTTAGTGTTTTCGGAACGATAGACGAGGATGACGTGTCTGGTACATTCAAAAACGGCAGGAACCTCATGCTCGCTTGTCGCTTTGAGGGGTTGGACGTCCTACCCCAGATAGTGCTTGACTTTGCTGGTTGTGTGTAGAATGTGAAAAAGGACGAGAGACCTGAAATGTCACATGGAAAACAGAAAACAAAATGTATTGTCACATATGTCAATTGTACTTGAAAAAGAGTATAGTTGTGGCTGAAAAGTCGTAGAATAAACGGAAAACTAAATATACAGGGTGTCCCAGAAGTCGACGTCAAGTCGGAAACTGGGTTCGGTTAAGTCAGGCCTCTCCAACTCAGGTGCTACCAGTGCAGGGCCGAGCACCACTCCCAGCACAGTGCTGCGGGGTGACTCCGTGAAGGTGGTGGAGGGAGGAGGGATAAGGCAGCGGCATACGCATCGCGAGGAAGGTGGTGTGCTAACCGTACCACCCTGCGAATAGAAATGACCCGGGAGCTGGTGGCATTGAGTATGCCTTTATCGCGGATTCGACTAAATTAGAAGATACAGCGTGACAGAGAATTTCACCGTCCTCACCGAATCCAATGAAGCCAACAAGGTTTGATGGAAATTTTAGGCTCATTTGGAAAAACATGGTATGACAAACTGATTTCCGCCAGAAGTTTCTGTCGTTCCGACTGAAACTATAGCAGGCAATGCAAATAGATAAAAATAATACATCCTGTTTGTATGCTTCATGCTTGCATTTGAAAGCTCATTTGAGTCTGTCAGTTTAACACCAGGCTACAAGATGTTTGAAAGTATATGTAAAATGAATCTGAAACGTCATGACCGTTGATATACGTATAGGTTATGGTAAAATCCTACCATCACGTTGTATCTTCAAGTCGATATGACAGGTACTTTCATCGGCATACCACGCCCTTTTTGTTCATTTACTTAAAAACTACATATTATTACCAAGTTTAGTCGAATCCGCGATAAGGTTTAATTTCGCCGGCTCCCAGCCCCAACGAAGAATGAGTTGAGTGACATTCGTATTGACATTTGAATTGGTCTGATCGAGTCAATGCGCGGGTGATAAAATAATGTTCATAATTTCGACGTAAACACATTTATTCTTAAGATGATCTTTCACAGCGTTTCGATTGAACAAGTTTTCTAATACTTGGTACAGTAGCTTGAGCAGTGGAAATTCTGAGTATCGCCTCTAAGGACACACCAGCCAAAGACGTGTTTTAGTTTTGTTCAAATTCATTAAAGAAAACATCTGCTCGCAGAAGTACGTTCTACCGAACATGGAGCAAGTTTCCAAGGCCAGTGCAAGAATTTTGGAAAAATCTTGCTGCTTAACACCTTGATAAAACGAATGTAAATTACTATTGTAGTGGTAGTATCTATCCTTAAGGATCGTATCGCATTGAAGCTTAATCAGCTCCAGTTGGAACTGCGGCAGTTCTGTTTCGAAAAGCACTGAAGATGGCGTCGTAAAAATCTCAATTGTATAAACGTCTCAACGTCGTCAATGATTTAAAAAAAATCTTTCGCACTTTTGCGCAGCTTAACCAGCGCGTAACACAATAAAAGGGTATGTCACCGTAACTTGCTTCCAGGTGTTTGAAAAATACTTCAAACTGTCGTGGTTGAGACCCTGCTTTCTGCAGTAAATTGACACATGTTATTACTACATCCATAATAGTTTTGAAATTACGGAAGGTTTTTGCACATAGTTGTTCCTGATGTAATATGCAGTGTACCGATGATATCGCAGGTAGCCCAGCGCCGCGTACTTTTATTTTCATTCGCCCAGTAAAACCTTGTGCTTCCGATAACGTTGCTGGCGCTCCATCAGTAACTCCACTACGCAAACTTTTGAGTAGTATACCCATGTCATTCATTGTGTATTCTACAGCATCAAAAATATCTTTTCCGGTCATTATATCTTTGAGCGGGATACCGTCTAGTAGTTCGTCGGTGATAGTAAAGACTATTTCGACACCTGTAACAAAAACAGCTAATTATGCTGTGTCAGAAATGTCTTTACTTTCATCGAGAGCTATAGAATACTGCACAAAATGGGCACATTTTCCCGCAGTTGTTCTTTTAAATCTGCACCAAGTTCAAGTATCCGACGAGAAATTGTTTGCTCGGACATACTAATTGTCTCAAAGTTGCTTACAGGACATGGGCACGATATTTCTGCACACTCCATTAGGCATTCTTTGACAAGTGCACCGTCAGTAAACGGTCTCCCACTTTTTGCGATTTTCAAAGCAACAATATAACTTGCATTACGACACCATTAATAATAATCAACTACGACCAAATTTATAATTACCTCTTCAGAACTTAGAAGGGCTGGCCTCAATACCGTGTGACAAATTAAACATTTTGCTTTTCCATCAGTATTTACAAAAAATAGGCTTATTCCATGCAGGATTGAATGACATCGTTTAAATAAAGATGCACGTTAAGACGCTAAAAAACCTGCCCACTTTGTCTTGTCCTATTAAGAAATGGCCCGCGCCCGAGAGACAGTCGGCTAATATGTTTCTCTCTGTCTCGACGGCTGTGCGGTCGAGGTGGAGGCGGAACGGCACCGGTGCCGCTGGGTTCAGCACTGGAGCGCACCAGCACCAAGTGCTCGAGTTGGAGAGGCCTGGGTTAAGTCATAATACTTATCAGAAAAATATAAAACTTTGAAGAGAAAAAAGTAGAATTTACCTCAACATTTTGCAACACTTATCATCATTAAATAGTAAGAGCAGCGACCTGTAACTGATTAATATGAGAATAAAAGCATTAATTTGTTAGAACGTTAATGCAGCTTTCAGCTAGCCCATTAGCCCATGTTTATGCTACCCTCCTCCTATCTTTCAGTTTCAGCAAAATGAAAAATAAATATGATTGGAATTAAAAATAAATATAAAACGACTATGAATTACGTAACGCAAATGGGTGCAAATATAAATAAATTAATAAATAAATATTCAATTGAACAAATGGTAGTCAGCTGCGCTGCGGTTTTACGACTCACCATTATTCGAGCAGGAACTGTCACTGTCAGTGTCTGTCGCTATCATTGTCATCATTTAATTTAACCATCACTGGTTCGATTATCCGCTCTATGGAATAGTCCAATTGCCAGAACTTTTCCTCTTTGACTACATGCCTCATGCAATTCTGCCACGTGTCGCCAGTTACACCCTTAATGGCCTCTTCCAAAAGAATACGAACATCTGCCATCTTGAAAGTAGTATTCTTACGCGCTACCTCGTTTTTTATTTGAGGCCATATCAACTCAAATGAGCTGAATTCGCAGTAGTTCAGAGGTAATCTCAAAACCATAGATCCTTTTTCCTTTGCTTTTCCTTTCATCTTCCACTAATTTCGTGTACCCACCCTTGTGCTGATGAGCGAGTTGCATCAACTCTGCTTTGAGCATCGATACCCTGCATGTTATATTTTTTGACAATAGCCAGTTATAAGTGTAAATACATTTCGCTTTTCAAGAACTCTGGCAGTTCAAGGTTACAAGGATGCTCCAATTTTGAATCCCGATCCACATGTTCACATTAAAACGATACTATGATCTATCTTGTCTCGTCAAATGTGGATTTTCTACATGCCACTCGTGTAAGTTGTGTAGATTCATTCTTTTTTAAATCTCGACTCGTCAGTCCATAAAATTTTCTCTAAAAATCGCGGATCTTCCTAGTGACTCTGTGACAATTGTTTGACAAAACTTAACTCTTGAAAGATAATTCCGCAGTTGTAGAGATGAAGCTCGTTTTTAAGGCACATTGACAAAAACTCGGTGATCGTGGTGACGAGCAGCATTTGGGTACATCTCACGATAACGCCAAGCTGCAGCACTAGCCTTGCATCAACTTCCCCCCCTGTACGGTGTACACAGACATGGTGGCACTAACCCAATCATGAATTAGTAAAAGTGGCATTATTATCTGCCTTGCTGTCACTACGTAGAATGACACTGTCCGTCAATACGTCTAAGAAAAATTGAAATTTGTTGCAAAGGGAACTAAAAGACCATCATAGATTTTTCAGATTTTTTAAAGCCGATAATTTGAAAAGTACACGACTTGGATTTTTTCATATTTTTCTGATCTTGGCCTATTCCCCGTTTCTGGCTTCATGTCTGAGGCGCCTGGTATACGAGGCTCTGATTCGGCCAGACCTGGAGTTTTGAACAGAATTATATTGTATAACTGGGGAGTTTGAAGTATACAAACGTTTTTCAGGTGTACAAGTTCGAAAAGAGTAAGGAAAACAAATGTCTATTGGAAAATGCTAAAGCCGCCTTGAAAAGGTCGAAACGCAAAGATTACTACAAAATTTTGGGCATTACGCGAAGTGCAGGAGATGACGAGATCAAGAAGGCGTATAAAAAGCGTGCACTAATACATCACCCTGACAGACACGCCAACGCTTCCGAAGAGGTAAGTTGACACTTATAAAATGATGAAAGTTCTTAAAATCAGAAGAAAAAATGACTTTAATTGATTAGTCAATTTTAGCGACGCACAATTTTTTAAGCTGATTTTTGTTGTATAGGAGCGTAAAGAGCAAGAAAAGAAGTTCAAGGAATTGGGCGAAGCTTACGGAGTGCTTTCGGATCCGAAGAAAAAAGCTCGATATGACAATGGCCAGGATATGGAAGATTTTGATGGAGGAGCAGCAGGTAAACATATACATTTTCGTGTAAGCTGAGATAGTCAGTAGAGTTTTTAGCGCAACAAAAATTACGAACTGTTAAACCATCTGTTACGTGATTTTTGAAAGTGATAAGCAAATAAGAATGGTTGAAGAAAAAAAGTTTCTATGACCACTGAAGTGAACTGTGGTAAATTGAGAGTACTGACTACTGATAGTCATGACAGGAAAATTTCATAACCTTGTTAAATGTTTTCATGAAAAAGTTTTGGTAATATTTGGGACCCAACTGGACAAGAAAGTTACCGATTTAGAATCGTAGAACCACAGAAGTATTATTACATATACAGGGTGTCCCAATATTCCGTGGACATAGAAGTACCACGTATTTTTAGACTCGAGATAAGGACATGATTTAGCTCGTTTGTCCGGTAAATGGCGTCAAAGTTTTAAATAGTCCGATTTGACTGAAATTTGGGACACGTGTTTTACTAGTCGTCTCAATATTTGACTTTTAGAGAAAAACTGAAAGGGTTTGAGAAGGGTGAAAACTATGCCACCCCTACATAAATAATTATAGCAGAATTTTTTTTCGAAATTCTCCCGACGACTATGACTTTTTTTGTCAAAAAGATCCTTTTATGTTCTTCTTTTTTTTGTCTCTTATAAAAACCGGTCATCTCGCATATTTTTTGAGATAAAAATGTATTTCGGAGCTGATTTCTAAAAAAATGTCGTACTACATCAAACGTTAAAATTTTTGCGGGTTATTTTATGCAGGATCGAAAATGGTTTATGAAAGATTTGCACTATTGCCTATATTAAATTAAACTGTAGTAAGTAATATCATACTTATTTATTTAGCTAACTGCACCTAAAAAATTAATAAGATGCTTGGGAACCTCCCGAAACAACTCATTTTTCTCGAATTCTATCTAAGATGGCCTGTTTTTATAGGGGACAAAAAAAAAACGAAATAAATAAAATGGCTAAATAAAAAAATTCCCAGTCGTTGGGAATGTTGCCAAAAAAATCTACTATAATTTATGTTGGGTTGGGGTAGTTTTCACCCTTCTCGAACCCTTTAGAGTTTTTCGTAAAAGACAAATTATAGAACGTCTAGCAAAAAATATATGTTCCAAATTTCTTTCAAATCGGACTATTAGTTCTTGTAAATATCTTGAATAATGTGTTTTAAAAAGAAAATTGACGCCCTCTAACATGCAAACGAAGCCCTTTTGCATACAGGTAAATCATGCCCAATCTATTTAAGTCTAAATATATGTGATACTTTTATGTACACGGAATATTGGGACACGCTATTTAACAAAAATCATCACAATGCTTATTTGTTGCATTTATGTTTATATGTGATTTAAAACTAATTTCTATTATTTCTCAACAAATATGTTTTCATAACTTGAAATTATTTTAATTAAGCTTAACCAGCGTTAAGATTTCCACAGTGCGGAATAAGGAAACGATAACCTTACAAAATAAGTATTGCCCTGTTTTCTGTAACTAACAGCTTTCTTCTTTTGATAACGGATATCGCTACTGCGAAAAATCGAAATAAAGAAGGTCATAACGAAGCAGCAAAATAAGAACACTAAAAACTATCTAGTACATATTTGGAAAAATTGAAGTTATACCAAGAGAGGACAGACAAGCCAAATAAATTAAAGATGGACTAGTCAAACCAAAAACATGGCCATGGAGGATCCACTGGCTTTTAGACCTAATTGGTTCTATCATTTCGATTTTATCCAACGTAACGTATTTTTCGTCATTTATCATACTCGTTTAGTAGTATGTTACACTGCTCTTTTGACCATTTAAGTTTTACAATCTACAAGTAGAACAGCATAAGCAGGGGAGTTTCGCAAAACTGATGAACATAACTGATGGAAGTGCAAGTCAACCAATTATCATCTCATCTAATCATCACAAAACATCAAGAGATATCAAGGAGTTAACACAAAACATGTAATTCCTTGACACGTTGCGCTTCTATCAGCCATTGTACTGCTATAAATGCGCAGTGGGCATCTGCAGCATCATATTATTTAGAACAAGTTATAAAAAATTCAGCACAAGTTCTAAAAAAATTACAAAATTAAGTACTAAATGCTGCCTGACACTATCCATAACAACAAACAAAATTTCATATCCTGACAGCTTTACAGACATTCTCGGAACCCTTTGCGCCGGTGGGCTGTCGGCAATCTAGCTCTCGTCTACCGCTACACTAATGGGCTTTGCCTCTCCATGATGCCGCCGCGTGATGTGCCTGCCAGGCAGACGCGCCTGACTTCGGCCTCCCATCCTAACCGTATCGAACTTCGTACGTCCAGAGATGGCCGATGCGGCCGCTTCTTTGTCCCTATGGTGTCGATATTGTGGAACAATCTACAAGAAGAGGGTTTTCTCAGTTCACTAACGTTAGGCAGTTCAAAAATTGGATTAACAAAGTATCTTTGGGATCCTCATAGCAGCTGCAGTGCCCTGGCATTTAGGCTTCTGCCTGCGAGGATGCTTCTGTGTAAAAAAAAAAAAAATTTCCAGATACATGTATATAGAATTGGCGAAAATGTGAATATGTCTAACCACTAATTATGGAGACCAGTAGCTCAGCTTGGCCGCTAGTAGTTCCCTAATATTGTTACTTTTAGGAGTTCAAACCAAATAATGCGCCTTTTGTCTGGCGAATCACTCATAGATGGCTTAACTCCTATTGCGGAAGAAGAAAATGTTTAGAAACTGACACATTTATACTGAGCAGAATGAAATACAGTTCACTGTTTTGGTGGTTGAGTCGCAATGTCATACGAAATAAGTAAACAGATCATCTGAACTGCAGCACTTATCAAGCTTAACTTCCTCCAGGAATTGCAAACTCCATAAGGTGATCGTTAACGCGACTGCTACTTTTGCATACACAGATACACATGAATTGTGTAACAGTGGAGATCTTCATCTTTTATCAGCAAAAAGTAATTTAATACGAAAAAGTGTGCAATTGAGAGTAAGAATGTTAATCTCGGTCTTGGTAGAGTATGGTGGGTTGTGGGCTTGCCATTTGAGTAAGCTAGATATTTTATGGATTTAGTGTTGAGGTTGATGGTTTTTTTTTAGTTTGTAGGTCTTATTTCATAAAAAAAATTAAATACCTTAATGCACACGTAATTAAAAGAGTAGAGTACCAAATATTGTGATTTTTTACACCAAAGCAGCACTCGCGAGCAGAAGCTGCTAGGAGGATCCCAAAAAAACTTTTTAATTCAGTTTTTGAACTGCCTAAGGTTAGTAGAATTAGGAAAAGCCTCCCCTTGGAAATTGTTCCACAATCTCGAAACCATAGGTCGGCGTCATGCAGGAGAGGTCTGTGGAGCAAACCCCATTGGTGTAGGGTAGAAGAGGATATCCCCGAAATACCAATTGACTCTAGATTTGGCACATCAAAAACTCCCGGGAAGGTTTACTCTGGTTTCTGGATAAAAAATCTTCTCAGCCTGTGTTATCCAATAAGAGTTGGCGACTACAGCTAAATATGTGCGGACTACAACTTTGTCAGAAGATACCCATTCCGCATTCCAATAATTGAATGGTTTGAATTAATTATATATGATATGCTATGGGTCCAGTAACATTGCCAAAACATTATCACCTGAATCTAAACTATATTTTTTTTGCAGATATCGATCCAAGCCAGGTGTTCCAAACGTTCTTCAATGGTCATGGACAAGAGTTCTCATTCGGGGGCTACCCAGGCACCTTCTCGTTCCAATTTGGATAAACTGCCGCCTGAGGGGTCGCCACATTCCACCGTTTTTAATTCGTTTACTTGATCTGTACATTTTCCCTGCTGTAGTATTTATTTTAAGTTAAATAAAGCTAACTTTTTTTTTAATTGTGCTAAGTAATGTTACAATTTGTATGTATGCTCTTGTGGAGCAAGAGTTTCAGTTAACTTGGTAAGGTAAGAGGAGATTATAGAGCAGATTTGGTTGACGTCAGGTTCTAATTTTTTTCTGGGGTAAAAATGTATTGTACAAAGATGAAGCTAAGCATGGGCGCCCGCAGGAATTTTTGTCACGGGAAGGGGGGATGATCGGCGAGAGAATTTTTTGTGAAAGTGTACCTGTATCAAGGTTTTGATAAGAGGAGGGTAGCGAATTTTGTCACGGGGCCAAATTCAAAAAATCCTAAAAATGGTGCACAATCATGCTGAATATGCAAATTTCAAGGTCCGATGGGATTCTCAGGGGAGACGCCCCCTCCCTCCTAACCAGCTCCCCCCTCCTTTGCTGGCGCACATGAACCTATGCAGAAAGTTCATAGAGAAGCATAGCATACTTTTTTACAATCGTGAAAGTGGTGACATATATTGTCAATCAGACCTATAGTTATAAAAAATATTCTGTTTTTGAGATGGTAAATTTTTTTAATCTTCTACACTTTGTTTCTTTTTGTACCCCAAAATGATGCTCTATATTTTTCTACTGCATGCCATAACAGGTTATCTAAAAATACATCTAAGTCATAGGCTAGTCAGGAGATGCAGTGATATATCTGAAATTCAAACGCTTGTCATAGTTTCTGTCATTTTGTATGATTTTTTTTGTGTTTAAATTTTTTTCAATTGCAACTGTTGAATTCATGCTTATTTTGAAGCTATGGTACTATGACAATGCTGATAGGGCAATTTTGGTTGGTATTTGGAGTAATTGACACTAAAAATATGTTTTGAATATGCTGGAGATATTTTGACGAAATACGTGATCTCTTGTTAATTCATCACACGTATGACTTTTGTATATAAAATATATGTTGTACCATATCATTGCATCATTTGCAATTAAAGACAGCTCATACCATACTGTGTTTAGAACAATACTTAATCTATTCTACATGAAGATACCCAATCTAAAGCTATATTCCCACGTCAAAAAATTATCCGAGATGATATGAGGATTTTTCACAGCTGTTTCTCTATTTGCTATATTCAGGGTGAGTTTCTAGTGCGGGCTCGGTCTGTAACTTCATTTTTACGCATAGTATCTAAAAAAGTTAGCTAGAAAAATTGTAGCCAATAGTATGCTCGTAACTTGGAAAATATTTTTATTTCTACAGGGTGATTCATAACTATGTAGTGACCCAAACATTCATTTTCTCCCAGAAAAAAAGACAAGCAGCCTTGCGGAAACTTAGATGATTTTTCATTTTATCTCTGATAATTTTTTCGATGTGGGAATATAGCGTCATGTTGTATATCTCTAGGTGGAATATATTGATCAATGGCCAGAATAATCATATACACGAGTCCAATCCTCCATCGCTGTTTTGGCCCAGGCAGTATTAATAAGCAGTTCAATACATAAGTATCAGTATGATCCATGTAACTGCAATGTGCATGTTAAGCATGAACACATAACATCACCCTTGTGTTTCACCTTCAATCTACATGTCGTGCCCTAGAATAAGTTTGTGTTTAAACCCTTCACGAGTATCCATTACGTTTTGACGGCAACTGGGGGTGAACAGCTGATGGGCAAGTGAATTCTTTGTAATAGCCTGTAATGTTGGCAATAATGAATCGGGTGTAAATGTAGTAAAACTTGCATATAGCGTTTTTTTGTATGCAAAAACACAATAGAGCTCTGTCTGCCTGGCATTGACAAATCCGTCAGAATTATGCCTTTTGTCGATATGGGAATTTTGAAATATTACTAGACAATCAGCGGTTATTTCTACCGTAATGGATACTCGTTGACAATAGTATTGTATCACATGGTTACGTGTTTGACACAAGGGCGGATTTACAGAGCGCACCCTCTCGCGCTTCCCGCTGTTGAATTGTCACAAAGGCATTTGTTCTCAGAAGCGCTACTTGAGCATGCACTCCCCCCTTCAATTTCTAATCGCCCCCTCTCTCTAGAGACAAACAACTTCTCAAATCAATGCTGCGCAACCCCCGCCCTTGGTTTGACCTTCCAAGATCGAGATATGTAGAAGGTCAAAAACCTTCAAATTCGTCGTGACAAAGAACATACAATTTTCAGTTCTGTTGGTATTCATGGGTGCCTGCACTGGAGGCCCGGGGGCCGTGAACACCACCCCAAGACCACCCCACCCCCCCCCCTGAGAAATCAATTGGACTTTGAGATTTTCATATGTAGCATGATTTTTTGTACAACTTTGAGGATTCTTAGGATTTGGTGTCCCCTGGGAAAATTTGCTACCCCCTGCTCTTCAAATAGTTTTGGGGGCAGGCACACTTGCTAAAAGTTATCTTTTGCTAATGACAGCCCCCCCTGAGAAAAATTTCTGCGAGCGCCCATGTTAGTATTCGACAATTTTTGCATGGAATATCACTATATATTTTAGTCAAAATCACGAAAGATGACTGTTACGTCATACCATAAATTGTACTGAAGTAATCAGTGGACGTACGTCGATGATTAAATCACGAGTCAGAAACATAATGACAACAAATTTATATTATGATTTTTCGAAGTTAGGTTATTTCACTGATTATTTTTATTTTCATTTTATTTCATGGTTTTGAGTGATACCTTAATAATAATTTTAGTGGGGAGTTTTTATTTTGAAAAAACAGTTATGAGTAGAATACCTTAAAACAGGAACACCAAAGATCAAAGTATTACTCGAAAACAACATAAACTAACTATTCATCTTTCAAATATGATCGATCATGCAACATGAAAACATCGTCTATCTTTGTCAGATACAGTAGACTCTCAACCATCCGGCCTAAGGTGGCGGGCAGCTAGTCCGGATAACGAAAAAGCCGAATTAATGTCCAAACATACGCAACTTTATTAAGCAAATGTATTTTAACTCAGAACTTGCATTTGTACCTATTAAGGTATGAGAAAATGCATAATTTGCCACTGTGTTCTCTTCTTCGCTGACAAGTCCCCCACTTATCGGTTCAAGCTTTTGCTCAATTGTCCACTTTCTTTCGCTTATTGCTCATCATGACATAAATAACTTATTCAATTCGCAAACGAAACAACTCGCTTATTTGTAACGTATCTATGCACTAAATGAAATACGCATATGTACATAATTATGTATGTACATACTACAACACGTAAACTCGTTCTAACTCGTAAAAATTATGTTTAGCGGCGCCGGGTCCTAGGCGATCCGGATAAGCCGAAGTCCGGATAGCCGCGAGCCGGATACTTGAGAGTTTACTGTACATGCAAATTAGCAATACAGTTTGTTTAGAGTTTAGACAATAAAATTCTATTTGTCTCTGTCTCACATCAGAACCTTCATTAAATATGTTCACAAATCGCTGTCGTATGTCTTTACCACAGACTAAAATGATGACGTAATCGTCATCTTTCGTGATTTCTACACATCCCAAAACTATAATCAAATTCAAGCGGATAACCAAATGAAAATGGTATTTACCATTTTGGGTTGGTATTTACCGATCCGTTCAAGCGAGTGTGGTTATCAGTTTGGTTATACGATCCGTGACGTCATGAATCAGCTGTTATATGTCATAGTTATCACCGCAAAATTGTGATATTTACCCAACTCGGGAGTAGTTTTATATTTCTGGTTATTATTTGAAATGTGACAAGTTAGAATTTTGCCGGGTATTGGATATTGTTATTGTATTTCAGCTTCATTTTTGGGAAACTTGATACAGGCTGACTTCAGTTTTACAAAAGTGGAACAACTTTTTAGTTATACTCCTTACTGTTGTTGATGGGGACACTTTAAATGTAGTTCCTATGCTTAAAAAAGTATCCTGTGTAGCCATATACCACAAGAATATTAAAATATGGCCATATAAACTCGCTAGATGATGTCCACCTGTATACGGTTTTGATAATATCTTTTTTCATCATTTCTGCTGAAACAATAAATGTTTTCTTTGACATGCGGAAAACTTTAGAGAATTGAAAGTTACCATAGCTGCAAAGCCATGGTTCCATCATTAAAAAAAATCTGAAAAAAAGCTACCATGAATATTATGAAAGGTTTCTTTTTTAAACTTTCCATACACAGTTGTAGACGAAAAGGCACCGATTATTAAGTGATAATAAAAGTAATCAGAGATTATATACGCGCTTTTCTAAAACCGACGCTTTCAAGCGATTCGTGTAACTGACGTCATCAACCCGTGTGTCATCTTGAACCATATGATAACCGCGGCACATAACACAGAAATTTTGGTTATTCGCTTGGATTTGATTTATGTTAACCAAACTGTTTCTTAAAAGTGCACATTTTTCGGATAAACCTGTGTAATACGTTAATGTAGTAACGGGCAGAAATATATGTATGGTATAAAATTGTCCGCTACTGAAACTGCTAATAAATATTAGTGATTTTTTACAGTTATTTTTTCAAACAAGCAATCTCTAGGTTTACATTGAATTTACTTAGGCCGCGGCGAAGTAGTTTCTCATCTGATTGGAAAAATATTCTGAGTTTTTTCATAATTTTGTCGTAGATCTTGCTAGCTCGACACGCTAATCACTTGGCTGCCGAGGCCCCCTTGCCAAGATATAGTGGAGACACAGCTGATATATACGACGTTTTAAAGCACCTATACGACTGGGCCACAAATATTACCCGCATTAGCAGAAACCTAAATACCATGGCACCTCGACTAGTATAAGGAGCTTAAAGACGCCTCGTTAATTTGTTTTTGAACTGAAACATTCAATGTAATTGGAGGAAAATTGTTTAGATAATTTTTGACGTAGTTTTGGGCCTGGTATCATAAAGATTTGATAAAAAAGGTCATTTTCGATTAAGATTATACAAAAAACCGGATCAGAATATTTTTCGAGCAGATGTGAATATACTCCCTGGACTAACTGGTGCTGTGGCAAATTCCGACGACTTGTGACAATTTTTGTCAAACAAGTGTCGTGTCATATTTCCTATAAAATTTCGTAAGGTCCTTATCTCAAAAAAATGCCTGACGAAGTAGATCACGTACTGCTCAACGCTTTGCTACCTCAATTATGTAAGCATAAATCAAGAATCGAAGATTATTTCATAGTTAAACCTGGAAAACAACAGACAGAGGAAGAGGCGGAACATGAAGAGAAAGCTGTGCAAAGTTCAAACTTTTACGTATTTCATGATCCTAACATAAATATTCCTCATCCAGAACCAAACGTTTATGCTTACTTAGATAAGGAAGGCATTCTCACCTTACTCAGTTGTAAAAATACTAAGATGGTCAGGAAAAAAATTGGTGGGTATATGGATTTTCTGTGAATCTTGGTACGACGCATTTCGCCATATTCATTAGCTGAGATGTTCAAATTACAGAAGTTTGAAAATAGGTCGTCTAATTGGATACAAATAAATACATGATTACTAATATATAAAATTTCAGATTCTTTACTAAATGCTCATCATCCCAAAGGAACTCCAAGATACATATTCATTGAACTAATGTACAATGTAGTGAAATTTTGCAAGAAAGCACAATTTAATTTGGAAAAATGTGGTGCTATTTTATCCACATTTTATATGACCCACAATTATGTTATCAGTAGATTCGATGTGTCTGCAGAAAAAATCTACAACTACTTCAAGGACCTTGTCATGTGTCACAGCTTACCAGTAAGACATACTAGTCATATATTTTGTTTCTAGAACATACTCATATATAAGAAAAGGAAGTACGTTGAATACGTCAGTGACACGACAGTTTAGATAAAAATGTAATTATGAATTTTGTGTTCAAGATAACTAATGTTTTTGGAAGTCATCATATATGTGCTAGTTTCCCAGTAGGAGAAACTGGAGTAAGATGACGATACCAAGAGAAACACATGATTCAATAATGAAACCATTTATTTTAAATCTTGGTAATGAATTCACAAAATAAGAAACATATATTCTAAGCAACTAAATCAAGTAGAGTACTAAAAAAACACACATTTTTTATAAAAAACGTCGAAAGTAAAAACGTCAATTTAGTAATCTTACCCCATGTTACGGGTAAGATGGCGAAAGTATTTGGGTAAGATGACTAAATGCAAAAATCGCAGCAAAAGTCATCGGTATCGTATGAACAATCCGCCACCACCTTTGACAGGGTGAACACTATGCAATTTTCAGTTGGCGGATCTCCATATATTTCATTACAAGTTGAGCATACAAATTTTTCATTTTTCCCCATTCTCAACTTTATATTCATCTCCTCAGCCTTTTGACTTTCTTTTATTTCTAAAGAGTTCTTAACAGGCGTGCTGCTAATAATAGACGCAGACATTTTTTCATTATTGGCATCGCCTTTATTTCTTTGAAACTGTTTTAATTATATGATATGAATAATTTCCACTTAGTGGATCCAGTTCATCTACGACCGGTTTAGTAACTGTCAATACTTCAGGTATGTTCTGTTCTGGAATCTTATTTGCCTTTATTATCTTTGCAATAATAGATAATGCAATGTCATCATCAGAATCATATTGCAAATCGACTTCTATAGGATGATTATTTGCTGAAACTGGTTGAGCCACCTCATGTGGATCTTCGCGCTCAGGTGTTGCCACTGGAACAAAATCGCTGTCTTCAAAAATAAAGGGATTAAACGGCTCTATTGCGCATGCTTTAAAACCTTTTACTGCAGCAGCTTTACCGTATGCTTCCGAAAACAACGGTCCTAGATTTCTTCAAGAAATCGCTGTTCTGGAGTGATTAAAAAGAAACGCATCGCAAGCTTGATTATAATATACTCTCAGGGGCCCGAAAAAAGCAACGTCGAGCGGTTGTAGACGATGGGTTGGGTGGGGGGTAAATCTGACCAATATTGTACCACTTCCACTCAGTAGTTAATACCTTGGAGGGAAATATGTGAGCTATGGTTATCGACTAATAACAGCACCGAACAATCAACGCAAGGCTTCGTGAAATGTTTCAGGTATGCAAGAAAACTTTCAGATGTCATCCAACCGGAAGCCAGTGCTGTTCCTTCCGATCCAGCTGGGCATCCATATGGAAGTTCAGGTTTCATCTTGCCAGCAAATACAAAAAACGGCGGTACATAAGAACCTACTGTATTTATCGCACATACTAGAGTTGTTGTACGGCCTCTTTCAGCAGAGACTATCTTGACCACACAGCATAGCCATTTCGGCGTGACAATTTTTTGGCAATTTCGTTGGCACAGACTCGATCTGCTACAAAATTATATTTCTGTTTAACTTCTCTTAGGAGTGCAAAGAATTTCTCTACCGCAGTTTTATTGAATCCCCTCAAGCGTGCAATGGAAGTTGCCTCAGGATTCCTGAGACTAAGATTAGCTGCTTTAAACCCATCAAACCAATCGATTCCAGCTGACTTTCTTTCACGATTAAATCTGCTCGATCCCATTTTCTTCGGCAAACTGGAAAGCTAATTTCCGTACTTGAATCGAAGTCAATCCAATTACAGTTCGTGAGATATTCAACTAAAATTCTGGTTTGCTGAGGGTTAAAAGTACTTTTAAATCCACCTGCATGTTCAGGAAGGTCAATTCCCCGTGCTTTCTTACTTCGATAACGCCTCAGAGTCGCTTCGGGAATGTTGTATACAATTGAAGCCGCGTTACAACATAGAGAACCTTTCTCAATAGCTTGCAGCGCAGCTTTGAGGGAATCGTCACCCCATTGTCTACGATTTATCTGTCGGTAATTCGTCGGAATTCTGCAATCAAAATAAAAAAGTTATCTTACACCAGATGTTTGGATCAAACAACTTTATATTATTTGCCTTTCAAAACAAAAAAATAAAACCCATTTATAATTGTTTACTACTAACCACAATCTTCAACTCATAAAAATCAAGAAAGATTTGCTTAACTGTAAGTAGTCAAAACACTTAAATAAAGATCGTAAAAATTATAACGACTGGCAGGAAAATAAGTTCGTCCGCTTCAGCGTTAAACGACAAACGCATACAAGTAATGGCTACATTTTCAACCTTAGATGGCACCACAAATATAAATTTAAATCAAGTGTGCTGCTGCGAATGTTTGGCATTCATCATCTTGCCCCAATTTCTCCTACTAGGACAGAAGGCGCTATTAGTCGGACAGCATTTGATTGGCAAATTTTAGACAACTGTATTTACAAATGTGTGATGGTAGAATAGAAATTTCACATCACTTATTAGGACTTCGAGAAAAAGGAATTAAACACACTCGTCCTGAATCCTTTTAATATAGATATTTTATCAAAAATACATACCAACTACACAAATATGAACAAGAATCTAATATTTTGCCTTTAGCCCTGCACTGTCGACTATATATATATATATATATATATAATTTATTTTATACTTGGTATCCATGTGAAAGTGGAACTGTGAAATTTTATTCTACAGTCTCGTGGAAAATGGAAGTGACTGGTTATTGGGATGCTATGAAAATTTGTTCATTCCAGTAGTCGGACACAATATCACTTGCCATAATCTACATAATTTATTTTTCACTGTCCGTCTACTGGCTAGAGCTTCAGTCGTATTTTGGTTTGTTTAATTCCCAGAGAAGTGTGATAGTCTCTATTGTTAGACAGAAGATGGATTGATAACAACCACGCCATTTCAGTAGTCGGACACTTGTCAGACTATTGGATTTTGACTAGTATGATGATCCAGTCAGTGGCCATTCTAATTTGGACCCCAAAATATTAAAGTCATATTAAGATTAATTCATTCCGTAAATTTTGAATGTCTTCTGAATATGTAACAAGACAGCATTCATTTATAGTCTGCTGACGATTCCACTTTCCTTTAAAGTTTATGTCGCTCAGTACACATAAAAATATTATTGTCAGTATAACAACTGTGGATGTGAAATTTTTGTAAATTATCACAAATTAGTTGATAAATCTGGTACCAATTACCAGCACATATAGGATTTCAAATATTCAAGTTTTTACCAATAATATAACATTTGTCTTACTACTGCTAGTGTCCGAGTTCAAGGCGGCTCGTGGCAAAATAAAACAGATGTTCTGCAAATCCGAACTTACCTATTTTTTATATGCCAGTTCGATCCTGCGCTCCTTCTTGGCAGCAAATTTTTCGATCACCTTCCCTTTAAAATTTTCCATGGTCGAAATAAATTCGCTTTCAATGGACAGCATCGACAACGCTGTAAGGCGATCCTGAGTCATAGTATTTCGAAGAAAGGTCTTATTATATAAAGGTATTATTATTTTCAATGTTGAGAAATTTCGCTCAGCCTCTGATGTTGACATAGGAGTTGTAACAATAATTTCTAATAGCTTTGTTGTTTCTTTTAGTGTTTCCTCCAAACTATTTTGTATCAAAAATTTCAAAAGACAGAGTTCCATGTAAATCTCGGCAAAATGATCTTTGAATTGAAATCTGTCATTTGCAGAATTCACTATACTGCCGCATACTTCTAATGCGGCAACTCGGTGATCGTGTTTTGGCTTCATTTATTATGTCATCAATTTTATTTCTCACATCGACAATACATTTTTCAAAATTATCGATAGCCGTTTTAACTTGCGCTGGCTCTATTTTTCTCTTCTGCAACTGGTTGAACAAGATGTCGACGTGAGGCATGACATGATGAAAAAATGTGAACCAAAACACGAAAACAGAATCGTTTAGCATACTGCGAATACCGCAAGCTGCCTTGCAGACGGTTTCATTAGTGAAATTTTCTTCTATTTCTTCCATGCATTCAATGAGTGATTCTCTGTTCTCAGACCTTACATTTATTGTTTGAATATTAAAATTCCAACAAGTTGTTGCTCCTTGGAGATTTTATTCCCCACAATTCTGTTCAATACCTCTACGCGTCAAAAAATCCCAGAATATCTTTCAAATCCCCAAAGAACACCCGAACTTGAGCATTTGCGGAAGCAGCTTGGGACAAAATCAGATTTAACAGATGCTCATAGTGAGCAAACGGATAACTTAGTTTAATTTTTGTCTGTACTACAGCACTATGTCCGCTGTCATTACCGCGGCTCCATAGCTTTATGAAATCAGTTTGTTAGGGAAATTTCCTATTAATGGATCTACGACTCTCAAAATATGTCTTGTAAGAGTATCAGCGTCACATTTTTTGGGATTCATATAATTCAAAAAATGTTCTATTGGTTCGCTGTTAAATACGTATCTGAAAATTGTTACCAGTTGGGTTTTTCCCGATATATCCGTCGTTTCATCTGCTATTATCGCCAAATACGAGGTTCTGTTAATCTATTTTATTATTTCTTCATGACAAACTTCAAGAATACAATCCAGTAGATCGTTTTGTATTTCGCCTAAGGTTGTATCAAGCTCAGCAGAAAAATTAAGCAGTTCACGAAATATTCCCGGGTTTTAGGAGCTCTGAGTTTCGTCGTGGCCCCGTAGCGTCAATTCAAATGCTCCGCAAAATTTTATACAATCGATTATTTTTATCATTATGCTGTTGTATACTTCTCCACTATGCTGAATCTAACTGAGCTCTGATGTTAACAGTCCCCAATAAACCCAATTCCATCGAATTATGAAGATGTGTTTTAGAGTTTTCATGCTTCATAATTTTTTCACTCGGGTGCACTAAATCTGTAACACCTACCTCCGTCCATGCTTTGTCACCGCCGAAAAGTATGCACATGCCATGAAAGCAGAAAAGGGCATTCTTCCTGTTGCACCCACAAATCCAGTCAATTCTGGTGTAAATCTCCCTACTGAAATGCCGCGTATAGCCCTTGCCCCGACTAACGCCCTGTGTTTCTATAAGTATATCCGGCAGCGGTCGATCTGACGCCTTCACCTCAATATTTTCTTCAATTGTGTATTTTCAGAATCGTTTCACGCTGATAAGTCTGTAAACCACATCCATTGTCTTGCACTACCCTTCTACACAGCCACAGTCAGTCAGTGAGTCACTCAAAGTAAGACCCAAAATACCTAAATAAAAAATTTTTCGCATTCAAATTTTAAGCCACGTCACGCGACAAGACCAATATGCCAATGCCGAGGACCGACCGACCAATCAGATATCGTACTTCGCATTAGATCTGTGTAAATTGCAGCACATGCTTAAATCGCGCATTTGATTTTGTAGACAAAAGCAAGCGCGTGCGGCTTGTGTCGAAGTAGTGCACAGATCCTTTTCAAGTGGCCCATGAATAATGCTAAGCTGCGGTCACGACGAAAATGACAAGTACACAATTGGTCGATTATAAAGCATCCCACAAACCGGCGCGAAATAATCGCGGCGAAGTATTCGTAACGAAATTCAGAGCGAAATTCGCAATCTGTTTCGCCTGTTTATTCATACCAAAGCGTCTTATTCGCTCCGCGAACGTGAAGGTTTCGACAGGTTGCGTACAATTTATTTTTGCCTTTTGCAATGAGCTCGTCTTCGGAAGAAGAGGAGGCACTTCTATTTCTTGCTTTAGAAGAGGAACAAAATGCACGGTAAGTTATGTTTATTTAACGCCATTTGATAGTTGGGTATGTATTAAGTTTAACGAAGTACATAAAACAAATATTTTCAATTTTGTTTAGGAAACGAAGGAAGTAGGTACAAGATATTAACTTGGAACGAAATAAATTTGGGGAATACCATACCTTGATGCCACAACTTCGGCTGGATGAACAGCGCTTTTACGTATATTTTAGAATGACTACAGAGTGTTTCGATGAAATATTGAACTTGGTGAAAGATGAAATACGAAAATCTGACACAAATTATCGTGAAGCTATTTCGCCAGAAGAACGACTTGCTATTACACTCAGGTAAAAAAATTATATGTATTAAAATTAGTAGGCTTATCGAATACGAAAACTTCAGGGATCGTGAAATAAATATTTTATTGTAATAATTGGACTACATGTTGCCACTAGGATTAAATGTTTCTAAATAATTCGAGGCAGAATTTGCCTCCTCTGTTGGGTATATTATTGGAGTAAACCCAGTGCCGCTTGGGAAGGACGACATACTACTATCATACATACTTGCAGAATTCTGGGTAGACGCTGAAGACATTTCTTCGATATGTTCAAATTCTTCGTGCGCTATTAATTCGGCTATTTTTAGTTTTATTCGGGCTTGACGTTTTAAGGGAAGTGTTTTCACAGTCTGTGCATGTGCCAAGAAAAGTGAATCAATGGCCTCGTTCTCTTTTTTAGGTTTTTTACCTTCAAAATAATTAATGAGCTGTTGTACAGACGAAGATGGTGGTTCATAGCGTTTTCTGCTCGTTTTATATTTTGGTGTAGTTGCAGTCTGCGGAAAGGTGTGCCCTGGAGTAGTCACTGCTGTAGTGTTCAATGAAGAAGGTGGTGCTGTCTGTGTTGCCGAGGCGTTCTGTGCATCTTCTGCATCTACATCAGCATTTTCATCTTCTCCATGGCCGCGGCCTTCCAAATTTTCGGTTTCTACATTTCCAGCCCTTTCCTGATATATATTTGAGTTAAATTCGGCAGTCTCATAATGTATGACGTCAATATCTTTCACATTAGACGACGTTTTGGCAAATGCCAAAAAAGGACGGAAAAATACCATGTAGTCAGCCCACTGCCATTTTTTTATGTTGCCCACTGCTTGGCCGGTCTTTGGTTTGGTAGATTTTATATATTTTGCAAATGTGTCTGTGATATTCTTCCACCTTTTTTTTACTTCATCACCTAAAAACGATTTTTTTTTTATAGATTCCTTGCCACTGGTGACACCTTCTATACCATTGGGCATAGCTTTCGAGTTGGCTTTACAACAGTGAGTGCAATCGTAACCGAAGTCTGTGAAGCGATATGCAGACATATGGAGCATATATATTTACCAGAACCAACAGAGAATATATGGAAAAAATGTGCTGAAGAATTTGAAAATAGATGGGGATTTCCCAATTGCATTGGCAGCGTGGACGGTAAACATGTAACAATCAAGAGACCTAACAACAGTGGCTCCAATTACTGGTGCTATTTACATAAATATTCAATAGTACTTATGGCCTTTGTTGGCCCGGACTATAAATTTATATGTGTTGATATTGGTGGTTTCGGAAAAAATAGTGATGGGGGTATTTTCGAAACCTCAAACATGGGAAAACGATTTGAACAAAATTTAATAAGTGTCCCTGCACCTAGATTTCTCCCTGGGCAAAATGAAATCTGCTCGTACGTCTTAATTGGTGATGAAGCATTTGCTTTAAAACCATACCTTATGAGACCATTTCCTTATAAGCAGACTTTAACAGACGTCAGAAAAGAGAAATACAATGTAAGACTTTGTCGAGCTAGAAGGGTCGTGGAAAATGCGTTTGGTATTTTGTCTCAAAAATGGCGAATATTTTACAGGCCATTGGAAACTAACGTAGATACTACTATTCTAATTGTACGAACGGCATGTGTTTTACACAATTTTTTACGAAGTAAAAGTGGCGATGACAAATATTTTCAATTCTTAGATCCCCCAGAACCCGTGCTTGGAGCTTTTACTGATATAGCAAATGATCCTCGGCGGGCAGCAAGGCTAGTATTTTCTACTCGTGACAAATATTTTAATTCTGATATGCCTATGCCCAATATATAGAATGTTCGTTTTCACATTTGTGTAGACTGTAAATTATTTAACAAGTTAATAAAAAATATTAGGTACATACCATTTGTATTTAATTCTTTTCCTATTTCCATCCAAATCTTGTCTTTCTTTCTCACATTCCTGTATTCATCGTTCGACAAATCATACAAACAAGGATACTTTTTCACTATTTATATCAATAATTCCGTTTTTGCCATTGCGAATTTTTGAAGAACGGCGTCAAAAACGCGGTCAAAGGCGAACTGAAATACGCCGCGATAAAAACGCTGGAACAATCGCATTCGCTTCGCACAAGTCTGAGTCCGTCCGTAAACCGCCGCGTTTTAATCTGATCGCGAATTCATCGCCGAGAAATTTTCGCAGCGAAAGCGAATATTTCACGCCGGTTTGTGGGATGCTTAATGCTTTCTCAGTACAAGACAGACTCGACGCCGTGTCTTGCGGGGGCAGGCCGGTATTGTTTCTATTTGTGTGATAACATGGAAAATAAATAATGATCAAATTACTACTGCTTTTTTCTGTTAAGACAAAAGTTTTGGCAGTTCTGCAGAACTTAAGGGCCAGCCGCCTCTGTCCGAATTACTGGCACGTTCACCATATGGTAGCTGTTTTTCTTGTTTTCAGTTTCCCCCAAGTAATTTAAAAATATTGTCCCATGCTGATGCCACCTCTGTGATGAGTCTGTTTTGCAAAATGTATTTGAGAAACTTGCCACTCATAAGGTTTCTCTGTTCACCAAATTTTGCCTTTCAATGGCAGTATGAACTGTCAGTGGAAGAGCTACCAGAAAAACCCAAGGACAAGAAAGGGAACAAAAAAGAAAAGGGTGGCAAGAAAGCTACTGATAAAGGAACCAAAAAAGGCAGTAAAAAATAAACTATTTACATTTTATTAATGAACCATTACATAATAAAACTATTTTTCATCTTGTAATTGTTTACACCTCTCTTCTAAATTCTGTACCAGGGTAGACTGATGGGTAGTTAGTTGTGACACTAGACTCCCACCCATTGAATTCAAAGTACTGACAAATTGAGCTTGTGCTGTCTGAATATCGGGAATCATACTGTATTCTATCAATTCATCTTTGCTGACAAATTTTCCCTCATATATTGCAGCTGAAAATAATAAGAACATTGAGTAAATATAAAATGGAACTAAATTAAAATATTTTGATAATGTAAGTCATTTAGAGACCAAACAAATGTTGAGGTTGTTTCCTAAAGTTATACATTTTCACAAAATATGGAATTTATTTGCAGTTTTATGATGTATAACAAATTTTTTTACCAAGCAACACAAGTTGTCTAAATTTCTTGGTTATTTTCAGCATTTTCTTTATTTCAGGCTCAGGACTAAACACAGTCATATTTTGAGAAACATAGAAGTCTAGCACTGCTTCATATGGTGTTCCCTTGATAGCCATTTCCAATGTTTTCTTTCCATACTTCTTGAAATGCATATTTTCCTTTTTAAACATACAATATGCCATGAATTCATCATCAGAATTCATAGGATTATGGTGGTAGAAAACAACTAGCCGAGATGTTGTGAACCATCTATATAATTCTTGGGCTATAATTTTCTGAAATGGGTTGTCTTCCTCTTGTGTTCTTTCCTTTTTGAATCCTTGACATAAATCAAAAGGCTTCTTATCCTTCTTAGTGCTGATGAACCATGGCTTTGTTAAAGCCAAGAATGCTGCTTTCTCAAAATGTGGAGCTCTAGGCCTTCTTAAATTTATCTTCCCTCTGTAGCGCTTTAACTGAATTAAAGGACTGATTGTCTCCAACAGTACTAAAAATATGAATTGGTCCCATTCAAAATGCCTTGAATAACACTGCCTCTTACCTTTTCGCGATACTAATGCCATTATGAAAAATCTGTGAATGTTTTAAAAAAAAATGTCGTTCTCTAACAGCCGTTCATAAACTTGTGTTTAAAAATCTTATTTTTTTTGTGGAAGAAAATTGAAGATTTTAGGTTAGTGGTACATAACCACAACACAGCATGATCATAGAACACAAATCAAATTCAAGCGGATAACCAAATGGAAATGGTATTTACCATTTTGGATTGGTATTTACCGATCCGTTCAAGCGAGTGTGGTTATCAGTTTGGTTATAAGATCCGTGACGTCATGAATCAGCTGTTATATGTCATAGTTATCACCGCAAAATTGTGGTATTTACCCAACTCCGGAGTAGTTTTATATTTCTGGTTATTATTTGACATGTGACAAGTTAGAATTTTGCCGGGTATTGGATATTTTTATTGTACTTCAGCTTCATTTTTGGGAAACTTGATACAGGCTGACTTCAGTTTTAGCATTATTTATAATCAGCACTGTTGTTGGGGACACTTTAAATCTAGTTCCTACACTTAAAAAAGTATCCTGTCTAGCCATATACCACAAGAATATTAAAATATGGCCGTATAAACTCACTGGATGATGTCCACCTGTATACGGTTTTGTTAATATCTTTTTTCATCGCTTTTTCATAATTTTTGCTAAATCAATAAATATTTTCTTTGACATGCGGAAAAGTTTAGAGAATTGAAAGTTATCATAGCTACAAAGCCATGGTTTCATCAGTAAAAATTTTTTTCGGAAAAAAAACATTCCTCCCATTAATATTATGAAAGTTTTCTTTTTTTCAACTTTCCATACCCCGTTGTAGACGAAAAAGCACCGATTATTAAGTGATAATAAAAATAATCAGAAATTATATACGCGCTTTTCTAAAATAAACATCTTGCAACAAACCGCGGTTAAAACCAACGCGTTCAAGCGATTCGAGTAACTGACGTCACCATCCCGTGTGTCATCTTGAACCATATTATAACCGCGGTACATAATACGGAAATGTTGGTTATCCGCTTGGATTTGATTATTGGCAACATCGTGGTCCATTGTGGTATTTCCATATATGAATCAAATTCAAGCGGATAACCAAATGGAAATGGTATTTACCATTTTGGGCTGGTATTTACCAATCCGTTCAAGCGAGTATAGTTATCAATTTGGTTATAAGATCCGTGACCGTGATCCGTAACACAAGAGTAGTTTTATATTTCTGGTTATTATTTGAAATGTGACAAGTTAGAATTTTGCCGGGTATTGGATATTGTTATTGTACTTCAGCTTCATTTTTGAGAAAAATGATACAGGCTGACTTCAGTTTTACCATAAAGTGGAGCACCTTATTAGTTATACTCATTACGGTTGTTGGGGACACTTTAAATGTAGTTCCTATGCTTAACAAAGTATCCTGTGTAGCCATATACCACAAGAATATTAAAATATGGCCATATAAACTCACTAGATGATATCCACCTGTATACGGTTTTGCTAATTTCTTTTTTCATCATTTCTGCTGAATCAATAAATGTTTTCTTTGACATGCGGAAAAATTTAGAGAATTGAAAGTTATCATAGCCACAAAGCCATGGTTCCATCATTAAAAAAAAATCTGAAAAAACATTTCTCCCATGAGTATTATGAAAGGTGTCTTATTTAAACTTTCCATATACAGTTGTAGACGAAAAAGCACCGATTATTAAGTGATAATAAAAATAATCAGAGATTATATACGTGCTTTTCTAAAATAAACAACTTGCAACAAAACCGCGGTTAAAACCAACGCGTTCAAGCGATTCGTGTAACTGACGTCATCAACCAGTGTGTCATCCTGAACCATATTATAACCGCGGCACATAACACAGAAATTTTGGTTATTCGCTTGGATTTGATTACAGTAACACACAACACAGGAGTGAAACGTCTTCTGGCTTAAACCGCTACCACACGATGTGGCGAATGCCTTACAACGTTGGACACGTGGTCACATCGTGTGGGAGAGCGCTGACGGATTGCATGTGTCCAACGTTCGCTACATGGCACGTTCGGGCTGTTGTCGGTAAATTTCACCTGCGTCAAAGGACGTTACAATGTTGGAAGCATGGCTCGGTACGCTCCCAGACGAGATGTCATGTGTTTGATAGTTTTAGGTTTGGGTTAGAACCGGCAGCGGTGAAAAATATTATTTACTTGTTTGCTGTAATTGTGGTGAAGTAGTGGTATGTGGGAAGTATTTTGATTTGAACACCTACTTATTCATAATGATGTGTGTTCCGTAACTAAATTTTGAGGAGAATGAATTAAATTAGTATGCATACAAAGCATAGGCTGCCATAACAACACTCTTTTCATATTACTAACATTTTGTACGTTTTGCACGTGAGTTATGGCTGGCCTAAGGATATGTATCTTACTAAATTATAAATTATCAAGTGTTTACAGTTGTTTCATTATAATGTCCTGTTGCAATGCAAGACTAGTTGAGAAATATATTGACTTGCATTTCATAACTAAAAGCTCTGCATTTTTTTGAAAATCGGTACAGTGGTAGCGGAGTTGTCGTCGAAAAACAAACAAAAAACGGTCAAACTTCGTTTTTCGATATTTCAAACCGACTCAAGTTCTGGTCGCTGAAGACAGATCTGAAATTATTTTTCGGCGCTCGAAAACATTGTTTCATCATTCATTTTGTATAATATTTCCTCTAGTTGTAAAGGTTCAAACGCGACACTGGCACCGATAGTAGACGTTGACCATGCGTCGAATGTCCGAGTCTAAAAAGTTCATCCCATCGTGTAGGAGACACACTTGCCAGTTGTGGGGTGTCGAACGTTGGCAACAGCGTTGTATACAACGTTGGAAGCATCGTGTGGGACCCGCATAACAGGGAATTCAAGTGAAATAATTTTCCTCAAATTGACGGAAAAATTTTGTGGTTTGACAAAGTTTGAGATTCTGAGCTAATATTTTTCTCCGAATAATCGAAAAACATTGTGATTTGGTATCTCTGCAGCTAAATTGGGCGAAAGAATAAGGAATTCACTACCAAGAATGACCTTGGATATGTCATTTGTCAAGTATCACGACCGGTTGTCAATGTCAATTTGCTTCCGTCTTTCTTCAAAAAACTACCATGGCGGTGAGTAAAAGCAGTTTTTAATTTCAATAAAAATCCATTATCATCCTAAAATCAAGCGAATAATTTATTATTTTGGATCAGTTTTAGTGTAAATTTTGTCACAAACTCTGTTCGTAGCCCAGTATTTCTAGTTTTTAATATATATTTACAAGTATAACTTTATGTTTATGTCGGAACTCGTACTGTTGGAAGAGTGGTTATATTTATTAACATGTCGTTTTCACTCCACTTATCATGTTAAAAGAGTGGTTATATTAATATATATTTATTAACATGTCATTTTCAGCCCGTAGCAAAGGAAAAGAAAGAGAAAAAGGAGGTGAAGGACAAGTCCAAGAACCCCATGAGAGATCTCCACATCAGAAAATTATGCCTGAACATCTGTGTTGGAGAATCCGGTGACAGACTAACCCGTGCTGCCAAGGTATTTTCATATTCTTAGCAAATCAATACAATGTTTACATTAATATAAGCAATTTTTAGGTGTTGGAACAGCTCACAGGTCAACAACCAGTTTTCTCAAAAGCTAGGTACACAGTCAGATCTTTTGGTATCAGAAGGAACGAAAAAATCGCTGTTCACTGTACGGTACGTGGCGCCAAAGCTGAGGAGATTTTGGAAAGGGGTCTAAAAGTACGAGAATATGAATTGAGGAGGGACAACTTCTCAGGTAATTGAACTCTTCATGAAACTATTGTGCAGTTCAAGTGATTTACAATTGTACGCTTTTCACACCCAATTCAATACTGCCATTAGTGCAATTTTCATATTTTGAGTTAACTTCAAATGCGTCAAAGTTTCAAATGGAATAAAGTCTTGTAAATACATTTAAAAAAAAATGTATTAAATATGAAATGGGTATGTGGTGCGAGTAAACATAAGATACCTAGAGAAATTGTGATTTTTGTATGCAAATACATCTAGGAAAACCTCACCATATTACTCTGCTGTGTTCTGATTGATCCATATCCACAATGGAACATTAATCTGGTGTGAAAAATGACTGTACAATGCATTAAATATAATTTCCAAAAATGTAACAAAACTCTACCAATAACTCAAACTGAGATCCAAGTGGTTTGGTCTAGGTTTAAGCTGGTTTTGGTTTAGCCTTTGAATATTGGTTTAAGCTTTGGTTTGATTTAGAAAAACCCAATGTAACAATTTTTTTTAAATGATTCTCTGATGTCTTTGTGACCAGTTTCTGTTGTGAATTAACAGTGCTACTAAATGCTTTTGAGTATCATGAAAAGACTTTTTTTTTTATAAAAATGGTTTGACAGAAACAATTTTCATTTTATATTACATAATAGACACTTCTACACATATAAAAAATGCAAACATCACCATTTCTCTAGGACTCTCAGATTTACCTACCACCATTTTTTGCCTGGCATATTGGTATGAGCACAAACACAAACAGACTGCCATTTAGTTCAATATAAATTAGCTCCACTATGTTTGCTTATATCATTTAAATCCTTTAATTATTTGTGAAGAACTAAGAAAATGCCTTCCGTTATGCAAAGGTGGACTGTTTAATTCACCACAGCAGAAAGGAAGGCATTTCAATGTTCAGAAGAAACTTGATAACCGATTTTCAAAAGAGTAGAGATAGTTTACATTGTACTAAAGGGCATTCTATGTCCAGTTACTTGTTTGAAAATGATCTGTTGCTGTTATTTTTCAGCATCTGGTAACTTTGGATTTGGTATCCAAGAACACATTGACTTGGGTATCAAATATGACCCAAGTATTGGTATTTATGGTCTGGACTTTTATGTAGTGTTGGGCCGACCTGGTTTCAATGTTGCCCACAGGAGAGCCAAGAAGGGCAAAGTTGGTTCACCACATCGACTGACAAAAGAAGATGCAATGAAATGGTTCCAACAGAAATATGATGGTATCATTCTTGCTAGTAAAAAGTGAGGTGTGATTATATCATGTATGTTTTGACATTTAACATATTTGTATGACTACACCTAATAAAGTTTGTTTATAAGATATAGTGCCTTTTATTATTGATAACATCTGTTGCTGAGAGATAAAGTGTTTGATCCAAAAACCAGTTTTGAGCAAAACAAGTGAAGAGTTGAGCACATTTTGGATAAACATACATTTTTTTCATAATCAAAAATGTTGGAATTGTCAGGAAATTTTATTTCTGCTGTAAATATATTGTACAGAATTGTTAGTGTTTGAGAATTACTTAAGTTGCTTTAATACAAATTATCTGGCCAAGTCGCAGAAACACAAAACAAGTTTGTTCCTGATACAAAATTTGCGGGAAACCTCGAATGGAATATCAGGTCAGCTAAGAAGTATTTGACAGTATCTAATAAAAGATTCCTAGTTGAAACAAACCAATGATCTCTCACCGTTTCTGTTATCCTGACTCGAAATTTTTGGTGCCAAAGTTTGACAAACTCAAATAGACTGGGTAAAAATTTGCTATTGGGATTGCAGAAACGCGAAGAGGTATGAGAAAAGGTAGTCTTCTCTCGATACAAAGGTGGCGGGAAAGATGGATGCGCAAATACCTCTCGTCGCTTATATTATCCTTATACAGAATGTTTGGCTGTGAAAATCGTATATTTATCAAATCCTCAAATTGACTGGATAAAAATTTGCTATCAGGATTGCAGAAATGCGAGGAGGTATGGAAAAAGGCAAAACTGATCCCCATACAAAATTGGCGAGAAAATTATGCACAAAATACCTCGCGCACTTTGTTATGTCCATAAGGAATTTTCGGTGTGAAAAATCGTACTTGACAAATCGGCCGATTAAAAATTTGCTACCAGGATCGCAGAAATGGAGATATGGTAAAAGGTAAATTTGCTCCCGATACAAGATTGACTGAAACATTATTCACAAATACCTCTTGTAGTTTGCGCTATCCTGATACCAATTTTTTTGTTTGAAAATTGTAGGCGACTGGGTAAAAAATTGATATTAGGATGGCAGAAAGGCGAAGAGGTATGGGAAAATATAGCCTGCTCTCGATACGAAGTGATCTCTCGCCGTGTCTGTTATCCTGACACGAAATTTTTGCTGCGACAGCTGTACGTTTGACAAACCCTCAAATCGACCGAGTAAAAATTTACTAGGATCACAGAAATGCGAAGAGGTATGGGAAAAGGTAGTCTGATCTCGATACAAAGTTGGCGGGAAAGATTAATGCGCAAATACCTCTCGCACTTTATCTTGACAAGGAATTTTTGGCATGAAAAGTCTTACATTTGACAGAGTTCATCAAATTGACTGAGAAAAGGTAGCCTGTTCCAGATTCAAAGTTGACAGGAAAATAGTGTGCACAAATAACTCTTGCCGTTTGTTATCTACGTATATAGGGTTCGCACTTTCGTGAATTCTTCAAAATGCTACAGGGATCATGGAAACGCGAGCTGTTGGGAAAATAGTTGCCCACTTCAAATACAAAATTGGCTGAAACATTCAATTGCTATGGCAAATTCTTTTACCCCCATTTAAATTTTCTAGCGGTTGAAAACCACACTTTTGACCACCATATCTTTCATGAAATCTCCCAAATGCATGGGTTAAAACGTGCTATTAGTGGATACAGCAAGAAAATACTGGAAGCATACTTTCGTATCTGAAAGTTTCAACTCTCAATTTTTCGGTAGAAGTGGTAGAAAGTGAAACACGCATGTAATACAAAAGTGTTTATTGAAAAAAAAAGTGTACACAGTCATATATGCTAACCACAGACATTGATTACAAAGCTAAGACAATTTATTCATAAAATTAAGTCTGAATTAGAATGACATCAAAACTTAACCTAAGCTCCTCAAATTCCTTCAGTCCATCATCGTCCTTCAACTGAAAAAACAAAAAACATTTCTTAATAATGTCAGAAAATCAAATATGACAAGTTCCTCAAATTAAATTGGAATAAACATTAATGTTGGCCAATTTTGTATCTTCTTTATGAAACTATGCAAATGTGGTGAATGAATGTGTTTTAATAGGAAGTGTTTATGGTGAGAAGCAAATTATATTTAATGTTAACAAAAAAAGTGTAAAATTCCTTATTCAAACTTGATATCGAGATATAGCAGTATAAATCAAGCTAGGATGCACGACTGAATAACACTGTAATTGAAAAATGAACAAGCAAATTGTGAGACAATACACTTACTATAAGAACTTAAATCAATCTCGTCAGGTAACTCGGTGATGTTCACATCAAATCTATCTTGAACTTCATTAAGAATCTTTGCGTCAGCCTCTTCAGAAACAAATGTAATGGCGAGTCCTTTGGTGCCAAAACGTCCTGCTCTTGCTACTCTGTGCAGGTAAGTGTCTGAATCTTCAGGCATATCATAATTAAAAACTATATTTACTCTTTCTATATCCATGCCTCTGCCAAAGAGATTTGTAGCTACCAGTATCCTCTGAAAAAAATGCAAGCTTTTCATTCATTTTGAACAATATCAAAAAAAATATTGTGCGAGATATATTGGTTGTCAGTAAATCCCACAAGCGTAAATAATCATGGAAATCATATGTCCCTACGCACTTATCATCATGTATGTCAAAAAAATGTTTATTGAAGGTATAGAAATCTAGGTTAATACTATTGATGAATCTGAACAAGACTAATAACTGATTGAGTCCTAATTCGCTTAATTTTCGTTAATGACAGGTTTTCCATTATCAAGAATAATAGTACATTTTCAAATTGTAAAAAGTAATATATTTTTGTCCAATGGTACTAGGGTAACAGATTTTCCCAAATAGTAATAGATCTAGCTGAAGCCTATTTATATTTTATTTACTGAAATGAAGTCAAAGTTGTGTTGGCATCAGCTTGCTTTTGGTGGAAAAGTGAGTTTACGTTTCTGTATATAAATATGACAAAAAATGTTGAGATTAGGACAATTATTGTTAAAAAATATTTCATATAGGGGCATACCTTTTGGAAATCCTTAAATTGTTCATATCGCGATAACCGCTCCTTCTGGTCCATGCCTCTGTGAATACCAATAGCAGGGAAGTTCTGTTCTGTGAGAAGTTGGGCCAGTGCGACACATCTTTGGACTGATTTTACGAAAATAACCACCTGAAAGCATTTTACTTTTGAAATCACCAAAGACATCTAACAAGGTTTTGGTTAAAAACTTGATAAGAATCAGTGAGAGAGTTCTGGAATAATCATGAGGATCAGATCTCAATTTTCATCATTTTGAGAAAAACTGTATGTAAAAAAGTCAGAAAAAAGCATAATTCTTACAATAAAACAACTATGTACCACCAAATTTGTATAAAAACCTTTTTACCTGGTTAAATTCTAATACATCAAGTAATTCAAATAGTTTTTTGTTCTTCTCATTCTCCTTCAACTTGACATAATGTTGTTGCAAACCGTGCAACGTTAGTTTCGCTTCGTCGTCAACATATACTTCCATGGGCTGAACAAAAATAAATTTGATTTATAACTCGTGAAAGTATCTTTAGTTATTCATTATTAGTACAACTAGAGAGGATTTTCAACGAATCTCGCCACTGATAGAACTGAACAATTTCGAGCAATTTGTTGAAATAAAATAAATTTCTAAAACTGAAAGTTTGTACCCTAATTTATAGTTATAAACATCTGAAAATTACACATTACAGAGTAAAAAAAATAAGATGCATTATTGAAAGTTGTAGATTTTGATTTAATCATACAGATTTGGGAAATCTCTGCCAACAAACCTGATTAAATACTCAGTTCTATCAATAGGGGTTCCAGTCAATATATATATATATATATATATATATATATATATATAAATATGTATATAACAAAAATAGGAAAATAATGGGCAAAATCCGCAAAAAGTGGATTCGAGCAGAAACAGGATAGGTAACCCGAGCGATACGTATTTCTGCTGGTTGGCTTCATCAGGCCCGAAATGAATGCACATATGCAACTACAAAAGTAGATACACATGCCCACACATTTTTTTCCTTTCCATCTTCGTTTCCTCAGGTTACACCCGTATCCGGATGTGTGGGCATGTGTATCTACTTTTGTAGTTGCATATGTGCATTCATTTCGGGCCTGATGAAGCCAACCAGCAGAAATACGTATCGCTCGGGTTACCTATCCTATTTCTGCTCGAATCCACTTTTTGCGGATTTTGCCCATTATTTTCCTATTTTTGTTATATACCTTTCTCCGCATGATAATTTTCTCTTTATATGTATGTATATATATATATATATAGTACGAGATGTCTAGAACCTAACATTTCAGTGAATAAAAATACAATTTTCTTATAGAATTTTCAACCTTCTGAACATTCTTGCTTTTGCTATTCTGAAGTAGCTATTAATCAAACTATATTATCGACTAATAGTACTAAATGGATGAATGAAGCCTCCAAGACCTTGGAAGGAATGATTTTTACCACAAAATGAGAACCAATAAATGTAGTTTATATTATTTTCTGATGCTAACAATCAATCTGAATGTTGAAAACATATTAAATGTCGCCTGTATTGTATAGTTTTTGCATATGCAATGAAAGGTAGGATGAAAGTTTTCATGCAAAACTTCGAATCCCTAACAAAACGTTGTGGCCGTGAGTGAGTATAAATGTACGGGGTAGTGATGGTATGAAATATGTCTTAATAGGTGCGTAGAATTACCGGGATGCATATTCGTAAATACCCGACGCGTAATCCATTCGAGATATTGCGGCCGCGCTCGAGCATTCGGTAAGTACCTGACGTATGGTGATGATACGTCTGGTGTTTATCTCTTGTCTTTTAATTATCTGATTCTGAAATTCAAGGATGTGGACCTATCTGAAAACCTTTTATTATGCAGAATGGTTTATTTAAATCAAAATATACTTTTTTATGTTATCAACTTATTTTCTTTTATTTTGCTGTTCCAGAATTTATGAAGTGAGTTCTTACTACTAGTAGGTACTTTAAAAAAATGCATAATTTTTTTTTCACTTCTATTGTATTACCGCAAATCTAATAATACGCCACAGTAACATAGGGTATTTCCCATTGTAATTATGGTAAAGAAAATGTAAAGGAACAAATAAATAGCCATTTTGTTTCATTGAGTTGTTATAATAGTAAATAAATGGTGAATTAGTCTGATATGTGAGGTATAATGCCTATACGAATGAAGCTACTTCGAGTGGATAACGCTTCGGGTACATAAGCCGATACGTCTGGTACATGCATACAACGCGTCGAATATTTACTAATATGCTACCGGGGTTGGAAGCGGACAAGTACACCAACATCAAAAAATTAAGATATACCCTCCTCCATCCCCTACAAACCATCCCCAATACTTGAACCCTACAATTTAAAAAAAAAATGATCAGGTGCCTCTGAAGCGTCAAAAAACTAAGAATGAGCGGTTTCAAAAACTACAAAGCTTTTTTGTCATCTACAGTAGTAACCTTATGTGAAAATTTCATCCAAATCTGAGCAATAAGTTATAGACGGGCCAACTATTAGTGGAGAGACTGACAGAAATAAGTGACAGTTTTCGCGACGTATCATACACAGGCAGACCAATGGAAATGAGTGGCATGGTCTTGCGTGAAAATCTAATGTTCGCCGGAAAACTAATCTTAAAATACTCTTGGCGATCTTGTAGAGTAAAGCTTCAACTTTTCGATATTTGACGACCTCAAAAATTATGATTTTTAACAGAGTTCTAAAGCATTTTTCGGGATCATTCTGAACAAAAAAGGTCTCTATACTACAACTATTTAAAACTGTAATGACTCATACGCGTGATCAACACGTGATCAGAGCTCGATCCCGGCTTCCTTCCAGTACAGCCGTATAGCGTACGACGTATGTCGTTTCTGTGGCTTTGCGGTGGTCAACAGCACAGACAGAGATGGAAATAATGGCTGATTGTTCTCCGCCGGTAGAACCAATGAAATCAAAGACGCGCCTCGACCGGCAGACTCATAGGCGTCGGCAACGCATTGGAACGTGTTTCGTTGAGCGATCGCATATTATGTGTTTTTATAAGAATTGTTGTGTGATTGTTATTGTTGTGGTTTCAGTGGTTACTGTTTTGGTTATACTTAACCATGGAGAGTACAAATGGCACGAGTGGAAGTACTGAAAGCCAGCGAACAAGTAGACGGCTTCGTAAAGCACTGAAGAGGGACGCGAAAGAAATCGTGCTCAACGTGTTCGATTATCTGGACAGAACTATGTCGCACGGAGATGCACTCGCGCGTTGTGAAAGTATGACAGGCGTTCCAGAGTGGACCATTCGCAGGGTGGTGCATGAAAAGAAGAAAACTGGAGCTACTACTGATCCAAAGTTTAATTTGAAGGGACGAAAGGCCGTTAAATTGGATGACGATAGCAAAATGGCGTTAAGGCCGTAAACCGTACATTCATTCTTCTTTAGGAATGAGATACCAACCCTCAAGGCTGTACATGCAGCGATCAAGGAAAATGAAATTATACCCCAAATGAGCGTCGAGGTAATGAGGAAATCCCTGCACGAAATTAATTTTCGTTACGAAACGCGTAATCGGAAGTCAGTATTGATAGAGAGACCTGAAATAGTCGCCTGGCGTCGAAAATACCTACGCGAAGTGATTGAATATAGGCGACAAAGCAGAAAAATCTATTATTTGGACGAGACATGGGTAAATGCAGGTCACACAGTTAAAAAACCTGGATAGACAAAAACGTATTGAGTAACCGACAAGCAAGCATTGAAGGTTTGTCAACAGGTCTTCGTGGACCGTCAGGGAAAGGTCAAAGATTGATGGTAACTCATATTGGTAGCGATAGTGGCTTTTTAGAAGAGTGTGACTTGATTTTCGTCTCTAAGAAAGGAGGTGATTACCATGACGAAATGAATGCCAGCTGCTTCGAGAGCCGGTTTCAAGGGGTGCTTCAGCGAGTTCAGCCCAACTTTGTGATCGTCATGGATAATGCTTCCTACCATAGCCGTCGAGCCGAACGTGTACCGACTATGGGATCTCGAAAAAGTGACATGCAGCAATGGTTGCGCGAAAAAGGAATCCCGTTTGACGATTCATGTGTGAAAGCGGAATTGTATGAAAAAATTAAACAGCCCAAACCTGCGAACGTTAGTTACGTGACTGATGAGATGGCCCGTCAATGTGGTGTCACTGTGCTGTGGTTACCGCCCTACCACCCAATAGAGCTCATCTGGGCTCAAGTGAAGGGTTATATTGCGCGCCATAACACAACCTTCAAATTACCAGACGTTAAGGTTTTACTTGAGACTTCCACACAGCTAGTAACGCCCAAAGCTTGGCAGAATGCTATCCGTCATGTTGTGAAGGAAGAAACAAAAATGTGGCAGCTTGACCACCACATCGACACCATCATAGAGCCAGTTATAGTCAATTTCAACGAGGAAAGCGATAGCGACAGTTTATTACTGTCAGATGTAAGTGGAAGCGGCGATGAATAAAGGTAATTCCCAAATTTTTGACTTACAATATGTTTCAAACCACTCTTTATTAAGCATGTGACAAAGCTAGTTCACCCATGTTAAACATTCATACCCCGCCTATGAACAGCCGACTACTGGTAGTTAAGTGATGTTCACGTGAACATCGATGAGTCATTACAGTTTTAGATAGTTATAGTATAGTAACTTTCGTCTAAATTATACCATTTTTGAGCTATAAGCAGCTTAGCTGTCTGAAAAAAACCTGAAAATGGGTATATTTAATGCTCAAACACTTGGTTAAAAATTACAGTTTTTGAGGTTGTCAAGTATACAAATTAAAGTTTAAGCCTTGTTCTGCAAGATATATTTCTATATTTTAATGTAATCCGATTTTTAACCTTGTCTGTTAGGCCAAAATTGGCGAACTTTAGGTTTTCACAGTCTGTATTGTCATAAAAAAACTATCTCATTTTCGAAACATTTTGCGTTTGAAATAATTCCTCGTCAGTAGACGTGGGAAGTAAAATGAAAACTAGGATCAATTGAAAAAAAATATTTTGTTCCAAGTCTGCCAAGCTAGGTTCGAAATGTCAGAAAGCTTTTAATCACCATAGTTTTGAAAGTTCAGTTAGAGTAATGGATCTTCAATATGTTAATTAAAATGTGAATTTTACATTCTCAAACATTTCATACTACCTTTCATGCTAGGCAACGTCTCGTCTTAATTTGTCACCGATATTTGTACTGTCAATTCAATTCAAAATTTACAAAAAGTGAGTAAAAACCGATTATGACCAATACCTAAAATATTTCCTAACCAACAACTAGCAGAAAAGGATAAAAATGGTGTAGTTACGAAGTGGCTACTGGACCAATCCATTGTACAGCATAGCAGCCCATCATCGCCATCTCAATTCGCACCATTTCCATCATAAACCCCATACATCGCATCGCCCAATGGTAAACATTCAAAGACAGGGTAACATAATTTCTAAACACTGTAGCTCTGCCGAAAAAAACACGTACGCGCTCCAAAAGTAATCTTCATCTTCAAATCTTCATGCCTCTTCTTAGCCCCCCATCCATGCCTAACTGTTGGGCTACAGTGCACTAACCGACGAAATCGCGAAGTTACCGTTTTTTTTGAGAGCTTTACTAGACCCCATTTTACGATGATTTTTTTTTTAAATAACATGCGTATTTTCAACAAGTGGTTGGTATACTTGGTAGACTTAGGTGTGTAAGAGGAGTTTCAATTACATCTTGCATGAATTTCTTGCACACTGGTCGGATTTCTTTGCTGAGTGTAGCACTGAACATCATGACTTGCTTGTTGTGCGGCGTGTTGCGGTAGATTTCTTGCACGTCTCTTCGCATATCTGAAAAATAAATGAACATATTCATCAAAATAGCAGACATTAAAACGATTAAGAAGAAAAAAAATGATTCAAATTTTTCTTAGAAAATGAACAAACCCACACACGACACACACACACACACACGCATTACTGTCACTGGAGTACAATTAACATGGTGGCCAAGGCCAATTTCACGATAGGACAAACCAACATCTCAATAGGCAATAATTCTACCCCTGTCAAAATCGAGGCATTTTGTTATGCTTAACACTAGTAAATGAAAGGGCAATAACTGAAAATATATGTACTACTCAGATAACATTTTCATTTTAACAAAGGTAAACCAAGATAAACCGACACTGTTGCCATAGCATGCTTTAAATATAGTCATTGTTGCAAAAAAAAAAACAGCTGTGATTCAAATTTTTCTTAGAAAATGAACAAACCCACACACGACACACACACACACACACGCATTACTGTCACTGGAGTACAATTAACATGGTGGCCAAGGCCAATTTCACGATAGGACAAACCAACATCTCAATAGGCAATAATTCTACCCCTGTCAAAATCGAGGCATTTTGTTATGCTCAACACTAGTAAATGAAAGGGCAATAACTGAAAATATATGTACTACTCAGATAACATTTTCATTTTAACAAAGGTAAACCAAGATAAACCGACACTGTTGCCATAGCATGCTTTAAATATAGTCATTGTTGCAAAAAAAAAAACAGCTGTGATATATCCCTAATATTTTGAATGCAAGAATATAGTATTAGGTTGGTAATCTTCAGATAGAATATGTTAACATGATTCTAGATGGTAGGTGAGGATGTAGAGGGTCCTCGACACAATAGTGATGTTGGATTGAGAATCTACCAGTTTTCATCCATTTACATGACATATTTTGGAAAATTCCAATAAGAAACCTCAAAAAATTTCCATTTTCTAGCTAATAAAACTTTGTACTTTTAGGTAATTTTGGGTGTGTGTCAAAAAATTGTGAGATTGTATTAGAAGTAGGAAAGTAATTTGAGATCCTCCATAGGTTTCAGTGCCAGATTGATGTTGGGCTGAGAAACTGCAAATGCTCTCACACCATCTATATAAGCAGCTCCAACAAGTAGTGCAAGATCCATCTGATATTTTGGACAATAGACTTAGAGTAAGATGACAAATGTTTCACTTACCCAGCTGTTCCAACATTTTATCACACTCGTCAAGAATAAAATGTTTTAGATGCTTCAAGTTTAACTTCTTAGAACGAACAAGAGCTAAGATACGACCAGGTGTACCCACAACAATGTGAGGTGGATTTGACTTAAGTACTTCCTCATCTCTTTGGATTGGTAGGCCTCCAAAGAAAACACCGACCTGAAAGTTAAAAATATTATGCCAAGTTGACATAAAAATATTTTATCCTCTTAATTTTGTTGAACTAGGAATTTACTATGCTATCAACCTAAAGAATAGACCAGAAGACCTAAAATAGTTTTAGTGCTAGCAGTCAGTTATGGTTTCAATTCTTAAATTCAAATATAGACAAACATATTGTTTACCTTAATACTAGGCATGTACTTGCTGAACCTGCTATACTCCTTACTAATTTGGAAAGCTAGTTCTCTAGTATGGCACATCACCAAAACATAGACCACATTTTCTGTTGGATCTAACTGTTGCAATGTGGCAAGAACAAATACTGCAGTTTTTCCCATACCAGACTTTGCCTGGCAGAGGATATCCATGCCTATGACTGCTTGTGGAATACATTCATGTTGTACTGTAACAAAAATCGATAAAAGATTGTTTTGAAGTAGCAATATACCATAAAAGAAGATTGAAAATAGATGCATTGCCTCTTAGTATCTGAAGTAAATTAATTAGTGTTACCTTCCCTTTAAAACATTAAAGAATCATTGAGTGCCTTATGAGAAAGGCATTTTAAGATTTTAATACCAAAGCCTACATATTTTTTTATAAAAATAATTCATCATTTCTGAAAAAAATACAAAATACATAAAAACTATTTGAGAGGCACAGTTCCATCATAGATTAGTTATTTTTTGAAATATAGATAAGAAATTTAGGCACATGAAAGGGGTTAAGAGAGACAAATGCATCGATTTTTGCTATGAAGAAATATGTGTAAAAATATAAGTTTTGGAGCCTCCTTATTTTAGACTCAAGTGACGAAGACATACATTGCAGGGTTTAGAGAGAACAATTTTATGGTGACCTTGGCAATGGCCTTGAAAATAATGTCAGAGTTCAACTTGAATGGTCTCAAGGTCACTGGAGTTACCTTAGATGTTTCCAAGGTCAACTTGAATGTTCTCAAGAACAAATTGAAAATGTATAAACCTTGATCAAGACATCAGTGATACAGAGGTTAAATCCAAGATCAATGTTCAAACTTTTATGTCCTTTCTACCTGTGGGTCATAAATTATGAATCCATCCCCTGAAACCTTAGATATAAAATTGAAGATGAACATATCTGGCCACCCTTCCAATTTATTTTGCCTTTTATATGCTCAACACATCTCAAAAAAAAAATTGTGGAATTATATATTGCCCTTGTGATGAGGAAACCTCCTATGTAACCTAACAATATTATTCCACATCTGAGCTTTCTGAACATCTGACAGTCAAATATGAGCTCCACAATCTAATGTACAGATGTTTCATAATAAGACAGCCTAGTAATTATGTAGGTTTACCAAAAATTGGTGTGAATGGAAGTGAAACCAATTTTTTAGATTAAAGAGTTTTTTGTCATGATGCAAAAACTGCTTCTAAGCACAGGAGTTTTCATCAAAACAATGATATGTGCATTTACATTCAGAAATATGGGTACCTTAGGGGGTGTAAAGTTTGAGATAATGGAATCAATATCTACCAACAATTTTGCAAACCTTGAGAAATACTTTGCTGCCGGAAAAAGATGTGCAATGTCCCTATACATTACAGACGAGGTCAACAAAGTTGATATGTATATCAGAAACTTTTGATAAGGAGGTTGCAACATTTTGTTTGGTTTGTTAAGCTTATATAATATACCTTCAGAGGGGTGCTCAAAACCGCAGTCCACGATAGCTCTCAAGATTTCCGGTTTCAACAAGAAATCTCTAAATCCAGAACTGTGGATGGATACGTAGGTGCCTTTAACTCCTTTTTTGTTTGCATCTTTTTCTTTTTCTTCAGTGATAGTCTGTTCAGTTTGTTCTTCATCCTCGTAATCGAGAAGATCGTCGGCATCTGCCATGTTTTCAACTGATTTTTGTTACCTACAAAGCATGAAAATTCCACTGAAACTACCTTAAAAAACTTGAAAATATCAACTACTCTATAAAGTCGATATTGATTTATTCATTAGAAACGTACAAATAAAGAAATTAATCTATCGATCATTTGAAAAAAAATGGAAATATAAAACTGACCTTAAAAACAAGCAGCGACAAAATGGACGAAAGAAACGCGTTCACGCCGTCGCCGTTCACAACACAAAACGTACAATACAATTTGTGCATACAAATACGAACTGTGACACCCCGACAGCCGACAGAAGCCTGTCCCAGTTCACAAATAATGCGGGTCCCACACGATGCTTCCAACGTTGTTCACAACGTTGTATACAACGTTCGGCACACCATAATTGGCAAGTGTGCCTCCTACACGATGTGATGAACTTTTTAGTTTCGGACGTTCGACGCATGGTGGTGCCAACATCTATTATCGGTGTCAGTGTCGGGCTTGAATCTTTAAAACTGAAGGAAAAATTATACAAAATAATCGATAAAACAATTTTTTCGAGCGCCGAAAAATAATTTCAGATTTGTCCTTAGCGGCCAAAACTTAAGTCTGTCAGAGACCTCAAAAATGTCGGAAAACAAAGTTTGACCATTTTTTGTTTGTTTTTCGATGATAGCTCCACCGCCACTGTACCGATTTTCAAAAACTGCAGAGCTTTTTTGTCATTTTCATAGTATGTTGTAACCTAGGGTCGAAATTTCATCAAAATCGTGATGGTACTTTCAGAGTTTTCATTTATTTAATCTTTTTCGTTAGTTATGTAATGGAAGTAAATATATTTGTCAACTAGTCTTGCATTGCAACATGACATTATAATGAAACAACTGAAAGCACTTGATAATTTATAATTTACTAAAATACAAATCCTTAGGCGAGCCATAATTCACCTGCGAAACGTTCAAAATATTAGCAACATGAAAAAAATGTTGTTATGACTATGATTTGTATGTATGTTAATGTAATCCATTCTCCTCAAAAGTTAGTTGCGGAACATACATTATTATGAATAGGTAGGTATTCAAATCAAAATACTTCCCACATACCGCTACTTCACCACAATCATAGCAAACAAATAAATAATGTTTGTCGCCGCTACTGGTTCTAATCTAAAACCATCAAACACATGACACCTCGTGTGAGAGCGTATCGAACCATGCTTCCAACGTTGTAACGTCCTTTGATGAGGGTCAAATTTACCAACAAGAGCCCGAAACGTGCCATGTGGCGAATGTTGGACACATGCAATCCGTCCGCGCTCTCCCACACGATGTAATGAATGGCCATGTGTCCAACGTTGTAAGGCATTCGCCACATCGTGTGGGAGCGATTTAACAAGAGGATCTAGTGAGCACGGAACCAAAACTTGTGGATCAGCAGATTGCAAAGCAGACAGAGCATAACACTTCGTTGTATGATATTTTACAAGTACAGCAATTATACAGGGGGCAATCGATATATACCACCAAGTTACGTAAAAATTGAACTTTTGATTTTTGAATCGTCTTTTATATCGTTGGTTTTCACGTATTATTTCAACCTACCTCTTAGATAGGTAACTAAACCACAACTTTTCCTTAAAGCTTTGTGTTTGGCTTTCCAAACCTTTGTCAAAGTGTAATTTCAAATAATCAAAATAGCCGCGAAAAACGTAAAAATCTTAGAGCCGTTTTGCACACAAGAGAATTACTCCGAAAATTATGATCATAATTATGCCGAAAATTTTTCATGGAAAAAATATTGAAGATTTTCTCTACAACCTGTATGAGCCGTTTTACACACAAGAGAATTACTCCGAAAATTATGGTCATAATTATGCCGAAAATTTTTGATGTCGTATTACGAAAATTTTCATGGTAAGAATATAAAACCCGTTCTATAGAATATGCGCGAGAGAATCGGCGCAGAGGGTTATTTCCGTGCATGTCATTATCAAATGTCAACGTCAACAACCCAACAACATAACCTCACTTAACATTTGTGGGTGTGGTCCTGTTCGAGTCGTACGAAGAAGCGTTCATTGTTATTAATCAAATTCAAACGGATAACCAAATGGAAATGGTATTTACCATTTTGGGTTGGTATTTACCAATCCGTTCAAGCGAGTGTAGTTATCAGTTTGGTTATAAGATCCGTGACGTCACGAATCAGCTGTTATATGTCATAGTTATCACCGCAAAATTGTGGTATTTACCCAACTCAAGAGTAGTTTTATATTTCTGGTTATTATTTGAAATGTGACAAGTTAGAATTTTGCCGGGTATTGGATATTGTTATTGTACTTCAGCTTCATTTTTGAGAAAAATGATACAGGCTGACTTCAGTTTTACCATAAAGTGGAGCACCTTATTAGTTATACTCATTACGGTTGTTGGGGACACTTTACAATGTAGTTCCTATGCTTAACAAAGTATCCTGTGTAGCCATATACCACAAGAATATTAAAATATGGCCATATAAATTCACTAGATGATATCCACCTGTATACGGTTTTACTAATTTCTTTTTTCACCATTTCTGCTGAATCAATAAATATTTTCTTTGACATGCGGAAAAATTTAGAGAATTGAAAGTTATCATAGCTACAAAGCCATGGTTCCATCATTAAAAAAAAATCTGAAAAAACATTTCTCCCATGAATATTATGAAAGGTTTCTTATTTAAACTTTCCATATACAGTTGTAGACGAAAAAGCACCGATTATTAAGTGATAATAAAAATAATCAGAGATTATATACGCGCTTTTCTAAAATAAACAACTTGTAACAAAACGGCGGTTAAAACCAACGCGTTCAAGCGATTCGTGTAACTGACGTCATCAACCCGTATGTCATCTTGAACCATATTATAACCGCGGCACATAACACAGAAAATTTGGTTATTCGCTTGGATTTGATTATTGTTTATTCATAATGTCATGGAATCGGGAAGAAGTTATACTGTTATTGGAGGGGTACCAAAAATGGCCAAACCTGTACAAGATGAAGTCACCCAATTACAAAAACAGGAATTTACGGGGTCAGGCGCTGGATGCGATCGTCCAAGCATTGAGAAGTTTTATAATATTAACCAAGATCTCGATTTCAAATATAAATTTAAATCAACGACGTCTGTTGTCTTTCCGATTGTATTGGACGTCATACCCGTTAAGGTTATGTCTATTCGAAAATATTATTCTAATGCGCAGGCGTATCATATGAATTACTAGGAAATTTTGTTTGCCTGTGTCATACAGGTTGTAGAGAAAATCTTCAATATTTTTTCCATGCAAATTTTCGGCATAATTATGACCATAATTTTCGGAGTAATTCTCTTGTGTGTAAAACGGCTCTTAGTCAATTAAACTCAAGAGTGTTTTCAGTTAACGCCACATAAATCAAATAAAAAGGGGCTCCTTGATTGCGAGACGCTAATTGGCTAGACGCTAACAGAACTGTGCATCTACCTGCTCTATTAATCTATGAAATCTCAAATGTCGTTCCGTGCAATTTGACACTTTTGACAATCTACGGTTTGTTATCTCTCATCGTCATCGGGGAAAAACATTTAAACGTCGATAGATCAAAATCTAAACAGCAAATTCTTCAAATACGACGCAAACTAAAGAGGAGAAAGTAGAATAGTTTCTAGTTATTCCACAGCGATCACTATAGACACATTAATAAAGTATTTTTCAATAGGTTGAATCACAGTGGGTTAAGGCTAAATTGCTAGTACTTGTTTTTATTATTATTATTATAACCGGCTGTGCATAATTTTCGTGATATACGTTATTCAGTCAGAAAAATGTCTCAGCATCTTCAAGGTGGGAAAGCTGATATGTCACTCATACAAACATCAGCAAGAAAAAATTTAATCACATTGCTTGAGAAATGTTCAGGCAAGAAGGCCCTAGTATGGGACAACAGTTTAGCAGGTCCAGTGGGTTTAGTAGCACAATATGCTACTTTAAGAGAACATATGGTCACAAAGATGTACCCTCTTCGCCCTATGCCTTTACCAGAAACTGATGTAGACCATATTATTTTTATCTCACGACCTAAGCTGCGCCTGATGGATTATATTGGTAAATTTATAAAATTAAAAAATTTCTGAAGGTTGCTGATACATTTACTATTTTAAATCTCTTAATTGTAGCACAAAATGTTCATTCTGACAGCAAAACCAAAACTGCATCTAGAAAACAATACCACCTATTTTTTGTGCCCAAAAAGAGTTTGCTGTGTATAGAGAGATTGAAACATAAAGGGGTATTTGGAAGTGTTATGGTTATTGATGAATTCAAATGTCAACTTTTCCCATTTGAATCAGATCTTGTTTCTATGGAGATTACTGAAGTATTCAGGTAAGTCGATATGTTTAGAAACTTCTTCATTGACCATATACTATATTCTGGCATCCAAAAAGGGATCTGGAAGATACTAGCACCATTGGACAACAGCAGAACACAAATGACTTTAGAAATATATTTTGAGGAGAGTTAAGTTCTCCTACTGTCTGATAGATTGCACTAGGACCTTCAAGCCCTTTTTGGCACCTCTCTAATGCCCATTGTAATTGGGTATGTTTTAGCATCGATAAACATATTATTCAAGTAGAAAGAAACTAATATATGTACTCTGTTTTTCTGTGGAAAAGTGCATTTATAATCTAAAAGTGTATATGAATTGTCAGAAACTATCACAGTCCATACTAAAAAGTCGAAGAGTTTACCTGAACCAATGAATGCTATATTTGTAAGAGCAAATATGCTCCTAAATAAAAACCTAGTACAGATGAGGTCACTGGGTTGCCATGTGATTGTTGTCACAGGATTATTTGCAAAGATTGTGGGTGATATAGCATGACAAGAATAAGAGCACTGATCTTACAAAATGGGGTAATGCTTTTATTTTGCCCAGAATGTTGAGAGGTGATGCGCAAAATGCCACAACTCAAAAAAGAAATGGGAAAAATTACAGAATATTGTTCTGAAATGTCTAAGGATTTGCCATTGTTGAAAGATGACATCTAGGAGCTCAAAAACAGCATTAGGGAATTGAAACAGAAGGTGAAAGAGCTCCCAACATATGCAGACATGGCTTAAATAGCAAAAACTAATACCATCCAATTGAAGCAGAACATCACTCAGTTGCAAACAGAGGTTATGGCAAAACCTTCTAGTACTCCAAATTCTTCATTACTTGAGCATCACTGAACCTACCATAAAAGAGCTTCAAGGGAGAGAGAAGAGGCAAAAAATGTTTTAGCTTTTGGCATACAGGAACCTTCAGATGTCAGTATGGAAGAGAGAATGAAAAAAGAGAAAGAAAGAATGAGCAAAGTTATGCAAGAGGTGTATGTATCAATTGATCAAAAAAGTTATTCATACTAGGAAGATATGATTCTAACAAGGTGAGATCACTGAAGGTTCTATTTCTTGAAAAAAGTCATACTCTAAATCAGGCCTCTCCAATTGAGCACTTGGTGCTGGTGCGCTCCGGTGCAGAACCCAGCGGTACCGGTGCCGTTCTCCCTCCACCTCGATCGCACAGCCGTCGAGATAGAGAGAAACATATTAGCCGACTGTCTCTCGGGCGCGGGCCATTTCTTAATAGGACAAGACAAAGTGGACAGGTTTTTCAGCGTCTTAACGTGCATCTTTATTTAAACGATGTCATTCAATCCTGCATGGAAGAAGCCTATTTTTTGTAAATACTGATGGAAAAGCAAAATGTTTAATTTGTCACACGGTATTGAGGCCAGCCCTTATAAGTTCTGAAGAGATAATTATTAATTTGGTCGTAGTTGATTATTATTAATGGTGTCATAATGCAAGTTATATTGTTGCTTTGAAAATCGCAAAAAGTGGGAGACCGTTTACTGACGGTGCACTTGTCAAAGAATGCTTAGTGGAGTGTGCAGAAATATTGTGCCCATCTCCTGTAAGCAACTTTGAGACAATTAGTATGTCCGAGCAAACAATTCCTCGATACTTGAACTTGGTGCAGATTTAAAAGAACAACTGCGGGAAATGTGCCCATTTTTCAAGCTCTCAATGAAAGTCAAGACATTTCTGACACAGCATAATTAGCTGTTTTCGTTAGAGGTATCGAAATAGTCTTTACTATCACCGACGAACTAATAGGCCTTATCCCTTTCAAAGATACAATGGCCGGAGAAGATATTTTTGATGCTGTAGAATACACAATGAATGACATGGGTATACTACTCAAAAGTATGCGTAGTGTTGTTACTGATGGAGCACCAGCAATGTTATCGGAAGCACAAGGTTTTAATGGGCGAATGAAAAGTACGCGACGCTGAGCTACCATATTACATCAGGAACAGCTTCCGTAATTTCAAATCTATTATGGATGTAGTAATAACATGTGTCAATTTCTGCAGAAAGCAAGGTCTCAACTACTGCCTGGAAGCAAGTTACGGTGACACCCTTTTATTGTGTTACGCGCTGGTTAAGCTGCGCAAAAGTGCTAAAGATTTTTTTTGTAATCATGCATGCATCATTATGCAAATGAGATTTTTAGGACGCCATCTTCAGAGCTTTTCGAAACAGAACCGCCGCAGTTCCAAAAGGAGCTGATTAAGCTTCAATGCGATACGATCCTTAAGGTCAGATACTACCACTACAATAGTAATTTAATTTCGTTTTATCAAGGTGTTGAGCAGCAAGATTTTCCCAAAATTCTTGCATTGGCCTTGGAAACCTGTTCCATGTTCGGTAGAACGTACTTCTGCGAGCAGATGTTATCTTTAATGAATTTGAACAAAACTAAAACAGGTCTTTGGCTGGTGTGTCCTTAGAGGCGATATTCAGAATTTCCACTGCTCAAGCCACTGTACCAAGTATTAGAAAACTTGTTCAATCGAAACGCTGTCAAAGATCATCTTAAGAATAAATGTGTTTACGTCGAAATTATGAACATTATTTTAACACCCGCGCGTTGACTCGAACAGAGCAATTCCAATGTCAATACGAATGTCACTCCACTCATTCTCCGTTGGGGCTGGGAGCCGGCGAAATTAAACCTTATCGCCGATTCGACTAAACTTGGTAATAATATGTAGTTTTTAAGTAAATGAACAAAAAGGGCGTGGTATGCCGATGAAAGTACCTGTCATATCGACAACGTGACGGTAGGATTTTACCATAACCTATACGTATATCAACGGTCCTGACGTTTCATATTCATTTTACATATACTTTCAAACATCTTGTAGCCAGGTGTCAAACTGACAGACTCAAATGAGCTTTTAAATGCAAGCATGAAGCATACAAACAGGATGTATTATTTTTATCTATTTGCATTGCCTGCTATAGCTTGCAGTCGGTACGACAGAAACTTCTGGTGGAAATCAGTTTGTCATACCATGTTTTTCCAAATGAGCCTAAAATTCCCATCAAACCTTGTATGCTTCATTGGATTCGGTGAGGACGGTGAAATTCTCTGTCACGCTGTATCTTTAAGTCGGTATGACAGTTTCTTCTGGCAGGATGGCAGGACTGAGCCCTTCTTGTTCATTTACTTGAAAACTACATATGATTACAAATTTAGTCGAATCCACGATGAAGGTATACTCAATGCCACCAGCCTCCCGGGTCATTTATATTCGTAGGGTGCTACGGTTAGCACAACACCTTCACGGAGTCACCCCGCAGCACTGTGCTGCGAGCGGTGCTCGACGCTGCACTGGTAGCACCTGAGTTGGCGAGGCCTGCTCTAAATGTACTAAAGAACAGAAGCAAATTGGACAAAGAGAGTAAGATTTAGATCAGAAGTGACCAAACTCCTCTTCTGAGGAAGGTACACTTCCCCGATTCCACAGTAGCGCGATCAATCATAGAGTGCATGCAGTTGCGCAGGCCCTCGGGGGAGGACTGGCGCACGGCTAGGGAGATTGTCACCTTCGAAAGGACGGCATGGGCGATAGATTCGTTTGCTCCATACAAAAGTGCAGGTCTGGACGGCGTATTTCCAGCCATGTTACAGCAGAGCTAGATATACTGGCCCGAAGGATTTTTGTCCAATTACTCTTTCATGTTTTGTGCTTAAGACATTGGAAAGGGTAGTTGATAGATACTTAACACGTTAATCGCCATGACACCCGACAGTTGGGTTTCAAATCCTGTAGTCGATTGGGCTCCGACACCTGTGAGTTGACCTTCGTTAGTAGCGTGTACATTAAAGCCTGAAACAAAACTGCCGTGTTTCAGAACACATGCACTTACATGGAAGTTTTTACAGAGGGGCCTGGCGGGTAATATTAGGGAATGAGCCCGGCAATTTTCATGTGTTTTTTTATCTCTGAAGGAATTTTCTAAAAATGATATGAATTTATAAAAATACATGTCTCATTTAATGAAATAGGACAAACAGTAGCCACTAATTATAAAGAATAATTGAAAACATCAAAACAACATGACAATCAGTAGGAATTATGATACAGGTATATCACAAGAAACTTTTGATTTAGGTCACTTCTTCTGAGCGGCTTTCCTGCCTTCTTCAGTACTTATTTTCACATAACATGCAACACATTTTCGTTGGTCTTTTGAAGCATCTTCTTGTAAAACATGCTGCATGCATGTTTTCATTTTCCAGCACCTCCCTGACATCCACTTCATTGATTTGTAACATACTAAGAGCAAGTTTCTGTCTAAAACCTGTAATTGACATTTTCGCCTTTGTCACAGTTTTGTATAATACGAACGCATTTACTATAGCTGAGTCAAGTAATATTTCAAAGGCAAGTTTCCTATACCACTTTATGCCTTTACGCAAAGGCGAACAGCATAACTTCAACTGATCTGATATATCTATGAATGTGTTACACAAGTTGTAGTCAATAACAAGAGATGGTTTTTCTCTGTCTGTTCCTGTTTGTGTATCTTTAGTGGTTGTGTCACTATGCATAGTGGTTAGACAAAGAATATCACATTTTTTGGGTTGTTTTTTCTATTTTTCCTTAGGGTACCCACGGTTTTGTAGCTTATGAGCCTGTTAGAACTCGAAAAAGTGGCACCCGACATAAGTAGGGCTTCATTTTCAAAATACAAATTTTGGGACATTTTTTTAAAACTAACGCTTGATAACAGCTAACATACCATATCCAGTGTTAAAACTAATGATTTCCTAGAAAAAATAGGTTGGGCCTGGGGGTAGGATATTTTTCGCTTCATTTGGGCGATTAACGTGTTAAGGGATGGCCCGCTGGAAAGGTGTGTCATTCATGAAAATCAGTTTGCATACCAACCTGGGAAATCGACTGATTTGGCCTTACGCAATCTGGTCGGTAGGCTGGAGAAGACTTTAGATCAGCGAGAAGTGACACTTGTTTCCTTTT